GTACAAGGGGCCTTTGTGATACCACAGACCGGCTGTAGCCACACAATCCTCAGAGAGACTGGCTGTGCAAAGAGCCACACACCCTTGCACACGGTACTCTGTCATTCCTCAAACATGACTTGAAGAAATTATTCCATCTTCAGGTTCCAGGACAAGAATTTTATATTTAACATGATTTTTTTTTTCCTAAACCGTGTTTTGTATATTATTGTCAATATTGTAGAAATGTAAAATAAAACCGACACTTACTTCTATCTCCTTGTCTGAGAAACAATTTATTAATACAGGCTTGGGTTCTGCTTAACCCAGATATTAGAACAAAACAAAAGCAAAGGGTAAAAGGAACAGAAGAGAAGCAGACGAAGATTTTAAAAGTAGTTTTATTTTTCCAGACATTTGACTGGCTGACAAGAGTAAAATTTATTAATCATGCTCTAATTATAAATCACTGCATCCAGGACATTGAAAATAAGAGTTGATTTTAGGTTATACAATATATACAGTTGCTCTGCAACTAAACAAAATAAAAACAACAGAATTGAATATTATACATCTCATAGCATTCTAAGCTGCATTTTATGTGTCACTTGCTCCTTTTTAAACAGTTAACACAGCAACCTAATAGTCTGTCTATTAACAGGATTTTTGAGTCATTATTTTAATCAGATTTGAAAAGTTGTATGAAATATGCCAAAATTTTGGACTTAAAATTCTTGATTTTATATTATAAATAGATATCTACAAGCTCTAGAATTTCATTTTTCTCTGCCAGAGGAGAAAACTTTGAGAAATATGGGAAATCAAGGGATAAATTTTGCTTAGCTGCTCTTTATTGGTCCTCAGGATTTTATCTGTCAGCACTGGTAGTGCTATCAAGCTGTGGTCTAAAAGTTTCCTAGTTTCTAAGTGACCAGTTATGACATTTTCTTGTATTCCTCTTCTAGCAGAACTCAAGGAAAATTTGCATAATTTTTTTTACGAATTGTTACATACACTATAAGATTCTGTGTTAAAAATACTGTACATTAGGAGATCTGTGCAAAATAATATGCCCATTTACTCTCTAGACTCTATCAGGGATAGAAACATACAAAATAGTGTTGCAAACTGAACATATCAGTAAGTGAATAAAACTGTAGTGCTAAACTATTACTCTATCATTTTACTGGGAACTTTGAAAATACGGACTAATTTGCTTCGACTTGCAATAAAAATATCTTGAAACATTCCAGTTTGTTCCCCGTTTATACTGCAGCAACAGCACGTAAGAGGTGAAAGTTACACGTCCGCGTGGCTGTACCCACACCCCTGAGAGGCATCAAGCCACGGTGCCATTCAGGAAGGGTGGCACAAGGTGAGATCAGTGTTGCTCTTCCAGCACCTCTGCAATGTGATTTTTCTCCAAATAAGCATATATGGTGGTGGTGGCCTGCTTTCCATTGCATATGAAGGGGCCAATTTAAGCACCATTTGCCAGAAATTCAAAGTTCTCTTGATAAATCTAGAGATACAATATTCACGAAACGTGATCAAAGCCAATGTGACCTAGACATTGATTTTTCGTATCCTATGCCTCAGTTTCCTGTAGCATAAGCCAAACCTGGTACAATTTCACAATATACAAACATCAAAATGACGTCAGATTTGCGTTGGTATTTTATATTCCATCAACCAACTGGGAACTATCCATGGCCTAGCCTTCGCTCACGAATCAGTAAAACAAATTTAACAACAGTGTAGCTACCATATATGTGGGTATACTATATAAATACAGAGTGACTTGCAAACTATCACTGTTTGCAAGGTAGTGGCACACAAACTCTATAAACCAGAACATAACATAGTGTACTTGTGAGGTGTCAGATACCTTATTGACCAAGGATAATTACCTAAGTGTTCCACCAAATCTGTTCTCCCTGTGAACACATTGCTGGATGATTTAAGGAAAATTCAAGAATCTAAAAACAAAGTCTAAACGCTATAATGAGACAAGTGTAAGAAAAGCTCTGCAATCCATCATCATAGTTAAGCACATTTCAGGAAATGCAGTTTTCAAATCCTTGAGTTAATGTAGTAACTCATTAATATTGCCATAGTTTAGTTAACCAGCAGTAGTCACATTAAATGACCAAAATGGATGAAACATACAGAAAGAACATTCAAAAAACAGGCTCTACACACGTGCAGCATAGAAAAACAAAACAGTCTCAAGCTCACAAAATTAGAACTAGAAAGTTCAACGACTAACAGATTTCAGATAACTTTAAGCAAATATCTACATCCATTCTGAAAGAAAGAAGTTTCTCCTGTGGTAAACTGAAATACTTTTCCACTTTTACCTGGCCAAAGACACACGATTAAAATAATTTCTTCTGCAACTGTTGACATCCTGGATGACAGCCAGTATGGCAAGATGCTGAATGAGTCCAATTCAGAACTACACAGCAGCTCGCACGTTTTGGTTCCAACACTTCAAATGGTGTTTGAAGAATTGGACAAATTCACTGCCCTGTTAGATGCACACACAATTTCTTTGACTGGGGAAGCAACACTGAACTGTAGTACTGTCATGTTACAAAAGGTAGAATAAAATTACAGTAATCGATAAGAACATTCATAATGTTGTGATGCTCAGACACATGAACTTTGATTGTTAAAGCTTTTCAGTTCACCTTGAAAAATATAGGAAGAGTTGGTTTTTTTTTTAAGTGTAAACTGCTTATGAGAAGTTTTCACATAGAAAAAAGTTTTAAAAGTCCCAAAATCAGAACGATGGCAATAAAAAAGTAAACTACAGTACCTAGAATTTGGGCAGTGCTCTGGCAAGGTGTCTGCAGATAGGTAGGTGAAATGAAATAGAACAAAACTTATTTCTGTGACCGCTGGAAATGAGAAATGTCTCCATTTATCAGTAGCAATTTAGTCAACAATAAAGTGCACAAATGATACAGGGAAAGCTCCTTTCCGACTGGGATCTCCATCAATATGACCAATCTGAAAGAGTCCAGATATTTTTCAAGTTAAATCTCAAAATGCTATTTCAGTATCACCAAAATAAATATCAGTGAACTTCCTGCCTGTAGTACAACAAGCCTCTCCCTACATCTTTTCTGCGGTAGTGGTATTTTTGAGAATAGGAAAATTCAGTTCTCCACTGCTGCATCATTTCAGTGCAATCTGTAATGCCTGGCAGCTCATCTCAGCCTCTGTTAAGTTGCTTCTTTAATCACTGCAAGGTAAAGGGGTGTATCATACTTCGGCTATTTTGGGCTTCACATGAATCTATTTATGTTTATACAGCATTATTGTCAATTTAGATGCAATTTGCAGCTCTGTTCTTTGCTAGCTAACAGATTAGGGCAAGTGTTTTCATGCACAATAATTTTCCAAGATTTTGCTTTAGCTGATGAGACTCTGGAATGTAAATAGTTGAGATGGTTTCCCTGCTCAAATAGACTCAGTTTCAGTCAGCTGAAGAATTAGGACAATACAAAGCTCTCTTTTGAGGCCCACCATACAGCATCTCTAATAGTAGCAGATTCTGAAATTACTGACACCACCCGAAAAATTTTCTGGATCACGCAGACCATGTCCCCCATATATTGTATACCCTATTAGATTATATTTTTTTTTCTGAATGAGAAAAAAAAGCTAAAAGCTTGTCGAAAGTTTGATTTTTTTTGAACAAAATTAATTTCTGCAATCAGGTTTCCATAAGATGAAACGTTTCTTTTTATTTGGAAACCCAGCAGGGGATCTTATGAAGTCAGTGTCAACCTCTAGATTTCATTTCTTTCTTTTTAAGTGTGTTGACATAAAATGCAAAATACTCACCCACCACTCCTGATCTTCTTCACCATCAACTACAATAATGTCTCCCTCTGAAAAAGTTAGCTCATCTGGGTTATCTGCTACACAGTTGTAAATTGCTTTTACTCTCTTGGGTTTAGTTTTTGACTGGAATGAAAAAAATAAATAAATTTAAATAATACAGCACAGAAGAGACAGAGCAGACTTGAAGTTGATTTAAAGAAAGTTTCAGAACTGCTTCCAACCATTATTTTTCATAGCTTAGAGTTCAGCTACATCTTTTATGCTGAGTGCTCATGCTTCAGTTGAATTTGGCAGCACCCAAAGCTGTTTGGAACCACTGTGCCAACAACATGGTTCCAGGTTTCCCTTAGAAATCTTCCATTTTGGCTCACCCAAACCTGTCTTCAGAGCTCCACATCACTGCAGGGAGCACAGTTTTGTTCAGAAGATGGGGTGATCAGGACTGAGTTCTGTGCAGCAAGAGTAGCAGCAGCAGCATTACCTGGGGGAGGCCTGAGCCACCTGCCAATACACTCCTTAATTTGCTAAATCCACTTCAGAAGTGTACAAACCCTCCAAAACATCCTCTGCCTCTCAGCAGTGCTCTGAAGACTGCCAGCTGCACGAGTCATTTGGCAGCTCTTTCAAAGAGAAAGTTTAGTAAGGAGTTGCAATATTCCAGTGTGACTGTGGACTCCAAGCCTAGCTGTGTTCTGTGTTAAATGATACCAAAATTGTTTTGCTCTGGTTTCAGAGAATCTACCAGCCTAATCTCACACCTCTCCCAGTGTAACTCAGTTAGCTGCTGCATTTGTTTTCAGCCTCCTCGTCCTCTGTTGCAGACCAACAATAATGCTGCCTACACAGCGTTTCCATGCAAAACAAGCCAGCACAGGTGAAGAGACAGGACCTGGAGACAGAGTGTAAGCTTTCTACCACAATCCACGCTTTTCCCAGGCATAAGGAGAAAAAAAATTGCTCCTTTCTACTCTAAGATGCCAGAGCAGAGCTGTAAGTGCCATTTAGGTCAGAGATGGCTGTAATGGGTGTTTGGAACAGAAACTCCGGATGGGATAAAGAAAAGATGGTCTCATCACCATCCTGGAGTCCCCCCAGGGACTGGTCCCACACTCTTGTTAGGTCAGCCATGAAGCAGCAAGCTTGGAGAGGAAGAAGAGATTCCATTCACAATTCTCTACCAGCAAAATGCTCTGCTGTGGACAATACTGCCCAACAGGCTCTCATGTGCCACTTTGTTAGAGCTGAGCACCAGGCAGAAAAAAAAATGGGCCATGTGGATGGGGAAGGAGGGAGGCAGCATGATGGTTATGCTCCTCTGTAAGTACCCATCTGTATTCTAGTGCAAAGCCTGGTCTGCCCAGGGCTGGCACACCCTGAGGCTCTCTCACCCCTGTGAACTGCCAGCCTGGCATGGCAGCACAGCAATTTTGGAGACACTCCCTCTCAGACAAGCGACAGTCTGAGGCATAACCACCTTTTAAGTCAAAAGGAAAAAGCTTCATATCAGTACAAGGGTGATAAAATGGCTAACTTCAAAGTGCAGTAATTACAGGTATTTCTTGTTCTTTAGAAGGCAAGGAAATGAAAACAGATCTCATTCCCAGAGGAATAAAATCGTCCAGGGAAGTTTCCCATGTATCTACAGTCTGATTTAAAAAAATCTAAATAACATACTGGGGGAAAAAGAAAAAAAAAAAAAGATGAATCAAGAATTTCCCTCTGCTAAACAGGTTAGTGGGTAAATGCACTGTACAGGAGATAAGCCCCTGGATACATATGAATATACAGCTAGACCCATCTTTTCTTTACTAACATTTCCACAATCATTTTCTAAAGCTGGGCTGACCTCTGGATTTTCTGGCAGGGTAAAGACTTAGCAAAAAGTGCTGGAGTATAAAGCTAAATGGAGCAATTTAGCCAAAGAACTTTAGCTAGACTGATCTAGCTAAAGCTCTTTAGCTGAGGGGCCCTTGACTAAATCTCAGCTAAGATGCTTTAGCTAGATTGATTAAGCTAAAGCACCTTAACTAGCACACACCCCCTGAGCCAGGTTTTCCCTTACTCTCTGTCCTGTGACAGAAGAAAGTCATCCAGCTGAATTTCTCAGTCACAAAATTCACCCCACTGAAGCTCTAGAGACATCTGGAAAGTCATATTTGTTTTTCATACTATGTAGTTAATATTAAACGGTGAAGATGCTGACCCTAGAAACTAGTTAGGACAGCCTATTCACTCATAATTAAAGCATTTTGTCCTATTAAATAAAAAAAAAATAAAAAGGAGAGAACAATACAGAAACTACAACAACTTCAATTGATACATAAAATCAGGTAAGGAGCTGTTTCAGAACCACAAATGTGTAGGCACTGCTCACACCTGAATCCCAGCACAGCTGGGAGAAATTGTGACCAGGACCCAACAGCTTCACAAAGTAAATATAACAATGTAAGCAAAAGGGATAGATTTTTTCACTTTACACTACTTAAAGCATTTAATTTTGTTATGGCCTAAAACATGAAAGTTATTTTAATGCAAGACAGACAGTAACTTGGTTGAACAAGTGGGGGAGGCAAGAAACCAGAAAATTTTGTATTCCCAACTAATGCAAGATGAACTGCAGATTCTCCAAGGCTTCTCAGAGAAACAGCTAACAGGGGTTCTAAGAACTCAAGACCAACATGCAAGGCTGTGCACACAAACACAATGAAGTCTGTTCTGGAATTGCTATTTCAGTGGACATGGTTAAGGAAAAACAGATGAAGGGGGAGAGACAGAGGACTGAAGAAGGTAGGTCTTTTCATTATAGCCCATTAATAAGACCATCATAGAGCCAGGAACAATACATGTCCTACCTCTCTATTATTTACCCACCAAACCACACTCCTGAACAGAATGTAAAGCATGAAATAGCCCTGACCTGGTCACATGCATCATCTCAGAAAGTATGGATTCTATATTGTGACTTGCTTACTTCAGAGAAATACTCTCATGATCAAGGATATGGATGTTTTATGTCTATCACACAAGAAAGCAACAGAAAATTGGAGCAAGGATCAAAAACCCAGCTAACTACACATAATGTACAGCTCCACTGCATCTAGAAATACATCCCTTTACCTATACCAGTAAAAGAATACAGATACTGACAGATATGTGTGTTACCACTCATGATCCTAGACTGAAAATAACAAATAAGAGCACAATTGATCTGATGGATCAGATCAAGAGTCCATCGAAATCCAGTCTCTCTTTTCTAAGAGTCTCTAAGGTTGGGAGAAGGTGGAGAAGAAAAATACAGAACATGTCCAGGCATTCCCCTTCAACCACTTTCTGTTGGGGATATGCTTACCAAGAGATTTCTCTCCTGTCACCAGGTGAATGCACAACAGAGAGATGCAAAGAGAATCAACTGCACAAGGAACCAGTTTCTTTTTTTTTGGGCTTGACTCCTACTAGCCTTGTCTGAAGCTGTTTCATCCACCTACATGAACAACTATGAGTATATCTGCTTCCATTATAAAAGTAAGCACCAGAGTTCCCTTTTTATTTACTTCACTGAAGATTAAGAATGAAGCTACTTACTTACAGTTACTTACAAGTGACTCATTCACCAAGCTCACCTATGAGTGACTAACTCATAAAGCTTATCTATCTTCAATAAGTCAAACAACACATTCTGTGGATTAGACACATTTGAACACCACCAAGGAACCCATACTTCTTTTCTTTGGTTTCTCTTTGTTTTTTTGGGTCTTGGGTTGTTTTTTTTAAATTTAAAAATCACATACTATCTTAGAGGAAATTCAAGAAAAACAAAATTTTCATAAATATTTAGTACAAGTCACACATGCACTTAAACATAGGGTACAGGCTCTGTATGCTTCATGATTCTCACACTTTCTCCATAACAGGATACACTATCATGTCTGGTGTGTTTAATAGAATGCAGATTTAATAAAATCAAATGCCAGATTTTGTACTTACTATTTGTGATTTCCTTGGCATTGGTGCCGGTGGCTGGATTTGTGCCAAAGTATTTGTTGTAGAACCAGCCTGTGTTCCTGGAATGTCGCATACAGAAGAAGACTCTCCTGCTAAAGCAAGTACACCAAGTAAATATTAGGCATGCTTCAAAAAAAAAGTACTGGTATCAATTGAAACCAAATGAATTACTCTTTAAAGGACATAAATAATTTTATATTCCAAAAGTATTTATTTTTGATGGTTCTTTTTAAGTGACCAAACAGAATTTTCTATTCTTTTCCTTACCAAAAGATAAACCTCTAAAACAGATGAGGGCAAAGCCAAATATATCATCTCCCCATTCCTTCAGTACAGACTGTGTAGTGTTAGAACCTTTCTTTCTGACTAAAGACCATCATTATCAAGATGATGTATTCTTCACAGGAGACTCCTGACACAGATGACAGGCATTAGCAAATTCCTCTTAGATACAACAAGAGGAAATAAAAAAATCACAGTAAAAACAAATGAACATAAAATATATAGTGGAAAGGAAAACTGGGCAGGAGAAATTCCACTACAACCACCACAGACTCTACATAAACTTTACTGTAGAGATTTTATGGTGATTACATTACTGTAATGTCCCAAAGTAGTAGTTACTTTAGATAATGAAAAGTGCAGAATGAATAATGAACTTTGAATAACAAACACTGTTTGTTACCATGAAAAGAGTAATATCAATTTGCAATTTAATTAAAAGTGACACCTGTATGAGCTTTAGATTTTCAAACCAGAAACACATTTTTCTATTCTAAAACGTGTATCTGAGACCTTGTTTATGACACATGCAAACAACAGAGCAAACTAGATTTTTCATAATGTTACTGTGAGAGTGACCCAGCATTGACACAGGTTGCCTGGAGAGGTTGTGGAGTCTCCGTCCTTGGAGACACACAAAAGCTCTCTGGGCATGGTCCTGAGTGATCCACTCTTGATGTCCCTGTTTGAGGAGAGGGGTTAGACCAGATGACCTGCCAACCTCAACCTCTGTCATTCTGCCTATTACATGGCCCCATTTACATTAATTGGCCCATAATTCTGTTCATGAAGAACTTGTGTATCAAGAACTTGTGTAGGCATCAGGGCCTACACATCAAGAAAAATGTTGTACTGACTGTATTTAAATGTGTAAGGTAAATTAAAAAAAGAAACCCACACCACAAACCCACGCTCTCCCTTAGATTGTTATAATGATAGCTTAATTGCAATAGAACTAATTTCTAAACCACAATTACCAGATTGTTGTAGAGACCCAGGTCCTCTGGTCTGCCCTTTGTTAGTTAAGCCAGATGACTTCTCAGTCCTGTGCAGAAAGTGAGAAATTGATCCACTTCAGAAACAAACAAGAACTTGAAATGCAGCAATACAGAGTACTTTCCAAATTTTAGAAGTCTTGGCATGTCTTCAGTATATTCTGGTGACAGCTATTTTGCTTTTAAAATTATTACTTTTTTTCCTGTACTTTGATTATGCCAATTGAAAGTTGCACTTAATTCAAAAAAGGGAGAAGAATAATATAGGTGCAATTGATGCAATTTGTGTCTTTTCCCAGGTTCTGAAGTTCCTTTCACTGTTTTTTTTTAGTTGTTTTTTTGTTAAAATTATGCATCCATATTAGACTAGGCATTATAGCAAGCCTCAACAAGTTGTGTCTTCCTTTTACTTAGTATGGTATATGCAATACAAGAGCTAGAAAAGGAACTTAAAGGCCAAAGATTGCTTACGTCTTTCAGTCCCATTTTGTGAATGAAACATTATTTCTTCCAAACTTTTCTCAAAGGTCCTACTTTCTAGACTTCTCATTGCCTTATTGATCTCCCCTGGTTTCCCCTCACTATTCTGTATCTTTACTTTGCTGCAATGCCCTAAACTGAACTCAGCAGTCCCACTGAGGCACTACTGAAGTTGAGCCAATAGGGAGGATCAATTCCTATCGTTTTCAGGCTATAGTAAAACAATACCATTTTAACTCTTCCACAACAGCACAAGTTGTCTGACTTGCTTTTATTTATGATTCACCAAGTCCTTACAGATCCTTCTTCTAAAGACTTCTGCTTACCCATACTCTACTGCTCTCCATGCTTTGTTTCCGTAGTTGATTGTTTTTAATTACTAAGTGTTGCTTACTGAATGATTCCCCCTCTTCTCCCTTGACTACCACTGCAGTTTGTCAAGGATGCTTTGGATACGATCCTGTTTTCCAGTGCACTTGTCTCTCCTAACTTAGTTTTCTGCAAATTTAAAAATTATTTTTTCTGTTCCATGTCTCTCTACTCCTCTACTTTCACTCTACAAGTGAAAAGATTGAAAGGAATTGAACTTACATAAAGCATGTGAGCAATAAATGGCACAATCAGATATTAGATCCCATTATCTCTTCTTTGTTATTAGATGAGAATTAGGACTCAATTATTCTTTGTGACTTGTTATTTCCATCACAGCTAAGCATTCTGGAGATATTCTGCAAGTCACACAATCTTAAATCACTAGGCTGTCTTGTTTTTACTATAGAAGTCCTTGTCATCTGTTTCCTTAGTGTCTGCCTTCTATTCATTCCCATACTCTAGAACACATCACTGGCAGAAGTGTGTGTGCTTTATAGGTTACTTGTATGCTACATATCATACAATTGGTAAGTTGCTAATAATGATGAAGTATATTAAATACTAAAATGACATCAGTTACCCAGGAATAGGCTTTTTTTGAGAGATTCTACTCGGAGGTTGTGGGGGCAGTGGTGGTGGGGTTGGCTTATTTTGTGGAGGAGCTGGTTGCTGTTTTGATTGCTGGTTCAGAGCTTCTATAATGCTGGCTGTCTTTGCCACTGGAGGTGGTGGTGCTGGAGAAAGTACATCTACAGAGGAAAGTTAGACAACAAAATGGAATTAAACTTCTATTTACCATTTTATTTCTCGTTTCGTTTCTTGGGTTCTCATCATAGGTTCTCCCTGTTCCAGGACTTAACCCCATCTAAGAAAAATGCTTTACTACCTGCAATCAATACCTTTAACTCCACTGGAAGGAGGACCTCTTTGGAAAGAGGATTACCTTTTGTTACAAGAACTTAAATTCATTCATCAATAAAGTACAAGCAAAGAAAATTCTTACCAAAGTCAGTCATATTCTTGAAAACTCTAGATCAGAATATATTTAATAAAGTGCTAATATTATTTGCTCAGTCAAGACCTTCAGTTTTTGTTTTATGGAAAAGTAACTGAATGAATAATATCAGAGAAATTTAGAGGAACATCTTTTCTTAAAATCCTGTTATGATTAACAACTAACTTCACATTAGATTTAGCAATTAATTAAAATTTTTACTGAAACCACCACAACAGCAGCTGGCAATGCATTAAAACAAATTTTGCACTCCAATGGTCTGCAAGAATCAAGCACAACATGGAGACACAGCCCCACGCCTACATGTAACACTCACCTTTACAACTATTGAGAAATGCAGCACTGAAACTACAAAATGATGAGTTCTTTAGATCTAGTAATAGATGGTATTTCCTGCTGACCCTGCACTACACCATACAGTCCTCACTGGAACATCAGAGAAGACAGTTTGTTACTGGATGGGAATGACAGGCCAAAGCTACAGTCACCAAAAGAGGAAGTATGAATTGTGGAAATGGAAAAATAAGCCAACTATGATTAGATACAGCAGAAGGCAAAACAGGGGAAAGTGGAAACATACTTGTAGATGTTACACGCAATGGCGGCACAGGGGGATGAATAGCTGGTGGATCAGATGAAGACCTCTGCCTGCTTATACTTTCCACTCCTAAAGAATTTGTCTTCCACATTGCATTAGATGAAGAAATTGTCTGAATACCACTGCCAAGTACTGAAGGCTGAACTAAAAAGAGAGGAAAATACTGTATTATTATTATTGCTTACCCTAAGCACAAAGTGTTAATATTCACACCCGTGCTTTTAGAAATAGTGCAGCCAGACCACTACATTCAGCAATAGGAACCACTGCATCCTGCTGGGAAGCCAGAGCAGAAATCAGTCTGGTGTAAAAATTACTCAGCAAGACTTCAACCAGAAACTTCTAGTATTTTACCTAAATGTAATTTGTCTCCAGTCATTACTTTAGAATACGTTAACACTTTTAAAAAGCTGAAGTTTCTCAACAAGAAGACACAAGGCAAGTCTTGCTATCTTTTTTAATCCCTGACTGATATCTATAATTTTCTCAGGTACTGCAAGAAAAGGACCTCGCACTCCAAGGGTGTTAGTGCACATTGCTCACTCGAAGTGACACATCAATTTTGACTTGGAAACAACGTAAAACTGCAATTCTGAATTTCACCCAAGCAAGAAGCTATAGTAACTAGTCACGAAACAGTTACAAAGTATGACTTCTTCAGGGCCTTCTTAATGACAGTATTCTTAGGCTGAAGAGCTGCCTCCTCATTTCATAAAAATGCACTACAGGTTTTCTTCATAAGGCCAATATTTTGCACATATTATGCCACTTCTCCCTGTTCTGCACATGAGCATCATATTAAGAAAAGATGAAACAGAGTAAGGTATGAATAAATATTAGGTTGCAGGGAAAAGCATAAAAGGCTCAGAAGACTTGGAGATCTGCCTAAAGCTATGAGGATAAAGGAGTAATAATACACCATAACATCAACAACATCAGCAATCGACAACAAGCTAGGATTGATGATACTATTATAGCTTTTAACTAAGAATATAAATTAATAGGCTAATACATTGCTAGAGTAAAGAATATGAGTTAATAACCTAAGGCAGGCAGCATGTCTTCCTGGCATGAGCTGTATTATAGCGGTGCCAAGAAGTCTGGGGTTGGGAATGAAATTAAAATGACACTCTTTGAAAAGTGCCATTTAATCAAGGGCAAACAGTGGGTAAAATAGCATGGTTGGCCATGATTAAAATAATATCAAAGGGTAAAAGTCTTTTTAACTATTCAATTGTATTACTAATTCAGAGATAGACTCTAACAGTTAACATAGTGTTCATTTAACAGCTCCTTCTGTCAATTTTCCTGTTTGGTGGGGGAAACATTCCTTTCCATCAAAAAAAACAACTTTATTGAGATATTAAGTTTAGAGTTCATGTGAAAATTCTAGAGGAAAGGAATCCCACCCTGGTTAAGTTTTATATGCTACTTAACTTCCCCCAGTCTCATGCTACTCTTTTAAAGTAACCCAAAACCATGCTGTTCTATTGTTCTCAGTTTTTCTACTCCCAAAACAATATATTTTAACCCAACTCTTATGCTGAAGTCATTTCTGTGAGAGCAGTAACTGAATTTTCATATTACACAGATGATCAATCTGCCATCTTAGACACAATCACTGGTGTGTGGAGACTTGCATTCTGACTTCTGCACAGTGCTCCCAAAGGCAGAAGCCCATGTGTGCCTGGAACATTCCCTGATCATATCTCCTCTTATGGATTCTGATTTACAGCACCATAGAAAACCATGTGTTTAACAATAATTTTTCTTTAATTGAACATTACATAAATTTAGCATCCAGGAAAGCTAGTGGATTAATAAAGGTACTAAAACAATGGAACACCGAACATGACCTGTACAAAGAGGACCTACACAGATTTCACTGTGCTTTTTTACTATGGTCAAACAGATTACATACGAAGATAAGAATGAAATTCACAGCATCAGCTCTAATGGCAGATTTTGCAAGCACATAACCTTTCTGAATCAGGACAAGACATGTACATTTTACAGTCTTCTAATGATCTGGGTATAACCAGTAACTGGTAGTTATATTTTCAGTCACCCAGTTAGGGTTGTCTCCACATCATGACACTTTTATTTTTATTTCAACAACCTTGAAGAATATATTAAGAGAAGACTTTGCAATGTTATAATCTCGTGTTCTGCATACATTCTCCATTCTTCGATGTCTTAAACAAATTTTCACAGCAGACAAATGCTATTGAAATTGTATCTTTCAACTGAATCCTGACAACAACATCTTCAAGTATGAAAAAACAAAATATAACAAGAAAATTGTTGAACTAAACTAATTGCAAGTCTCCTTTTAATAAATAGTTTAACTCTAGTGAGATTATTTGGGTATTGTTTTCTCAAACACTGTTGTGTACTTTCTTATAAAAATCACTCAGAAGAGGTTGTGCAAATCCACTTCAAGCGTATAAAATGAAGTCATCAGTAAACCATTCCAATACTTACCTGTGCTAAACAACCGTAAAAGAAAACCTAAAAATATAAATTTTTTTTTAAAAAGTTACAACCCCATTCCTCTAATATACAATGGTATTTTCTGGTGTTAGTACCTTTGCCAATATTCCTTGGAGGTAGAGGAGGTGCACTACTTGTAACAGGTACTGCAGGCTGACCGGGAGGTGGACTGCCACTAAGTATTGCTCCATATGTTTCATTCTGTAATATACTTGGCATGAACCCTCTTTGCTTATCCTTAGCAATGTTGGCTGCATCTCTTGCCAAGGATGCTACATTAGGCTGAAGTTGGTTTGACCCAAGTTGGTAGAAGCTGACAGGCCTGTCCTCTCTCCGATTGGGACTGGGTTGCTTAAACACAATAACAAAAGTATTCATAATTACCACATTAGTTGTACTCATTTTATTTATTAGTCCATCAAAAGTTATTAGTTTCTATAAAGAAAAAATGGCTTCTAAAATGCATTTTTGTTGATTTTAATATGTAATCTAAAACCTACATTCTGTCCTCTTAAAGACAAAGTAACTCTGCACATGAACAAAAAAGATTAAATGTGAATTGCATTTCAAAACAATTAATATATTCTCATTTCTCCTCTAGTATACTCCTGTAGGATACTACTGTATCCTTATATACACAGGACTATACCTCTATGGATAATCAATATTGATAATCAGATCGGATCAAGATTCTCTGCATCAAAATGCCAGGCAATATTTTCAAAAGTGAATAAATACCCAAAGATCCTAAGCCTCATTTGAAATTCAGCAGTGCTAAATCCCAAACAGATGATCATGATCTCAAAACCCAGACTCAACTGCACCCAGTAGCTCAGCCTAAGACAAATTAGGAGCAAAAAGTTCTCATGAGCTCTCTTTAGCTCATTTGTGTTGCTGGACAAGTTCAGGAGATTACTTCAACTGGCAGCTTGGATGGAACATTGCTCATCCCATGTACATTACCAAATGAGATCTAATTAGTTGTCTTTGAGATTTACAGCAATCATCTGCACTTAGCATTATTCTTCCTGTTTCAAGAGCAAGCATAGTAATTATCGCTATCAAATCATAATTAAAATAGCTGGAGTTATAAATTCATGTGGCTACTACAGGAATGGGCTGTAACAATCCACAGCCCAGAGAACATAAATGTGCTTTCAGAAATAGTACTAGATAAACACATCGCTGTCATACTGTCTGTATGAAATTTAAATAACCATTTATAGTAATAGCATTTAGACAGAACAGATTTACACCAGGAGTATCACTAACAAGCAATCAATTTTCCTCTGAATATATTGAATGCTTATTTTGGATTGATCATGTAGGGCCTTTAGATGTGCTATAGCACAGCTTTATAGTTCACAGATTTACCAGAATGCTGTATGTGACAGCCAGACACATTAATCTCTACCCTTACTTTGGCTTAGCAGCCTCACTCACTAGCTGACACTCTCCATTCCCTGACCTCTCCACTGTCCTGTCCTTGTTTAAGCCCACACTTCTGCTTTCTAAAACAGTAGAAAATTCTGGTTTTGAATTGTTGATTCAGCTTTTCATTGGCTCACCAAACTGAAGCAGTTCAATACAGGGACAAATGTGTGTCAGAATGGAGGCAAAGCTAAGGAAGGACCAGGCACCCAGGCTGTGCAAGAGCAGCAGAAACCAGTTGAATTGTCTTAACCTTTTAGGTTAGACTCTCTTTTATATTAAATACTCCGGACTAAAAGAACTTAAATTTCAGATAGGACCTTTTCTGACAAAGATTAGAAAATCTATTCAATTGCTTTACCAGCAAGACAAGCCCAACAGCTTCACAATTATTAACAAAACTCTAATGGAATCCAAAGCAACAGTAGTATTCACCCATGCATTCAATGTAGTCACAGACACTGGTCTGTGATTAATAGTCCTTAATCTCCTTTCAGAAGTCCCTGCAGTATAAACCTATTAATAATAGGCAGTGAAATAGGAGCTTCATTACTTTAGCCTCACTGCTGAGTAGCAGATACCTTCCTATATCAGGTGGAGCTCAGGACTCAGAAAGAGGACACTCAATTGCAGAAGGCAACTGGCAACAATGAAGGAAGTGAACGAGAAGAACAGATCAAAAATACGTATTTAGAGCATGCCAGAAAGGGATTTCTAGTTGTAAATTACCACAAATTTTTACAGCTGGAGAAAAAGCGAATCTCTAGAATTTCAAGCTGCTTTATCAAAAGGGTCATCCTTAGTGCTGTTATTTTTTTGAATGGTGATACAATATATAAGAATACATAAATACTGGGATAGAAATACAAAACCTCACGCAGAAGTAAAAAGCGCTATAGTAAAAAGCAACATTATTGAAATAATTATGAACATCAAGCTTACACATGTACGTGTTCAGAAAAATAATGCTGATACAGACCTGCAGCTTTTCATCCACATCGTCATCACTTTCATCCAGATCTTCGTGGAGTAACCGCCACTCATATTCTACATGAACATGAGAATTAAATCTTCCAGACAGTGCTTGAGTAAGCTAAGGAAAAACGAGGTGACTGTTGACACCTATGTTATGTGCAGTACTTATTTTTAAACAGCATATTGAAAAACAAACAAAGCCCACATATAGAAGGAATCTTGATTTCAGTAATGTGGAAAGTTACTGCACTCAGGTAAATTTAAAGAATTAAGCTGTGGTACCAAATATCATACAAATAAATCCAGCCTGTCCACATCCCTCTGCAGAGCCTTCTTACCCTCCAGCAGATTAACACTCACTCAACTTGGTGTCATCTGAAAACTTACTCAGGGAATCTTACTTATGGATCTCTGACTTATAGCTCAAATAGAATCATCCCCTGGCCCCAAGAATTTTAGCATTTCTGATGCATTTAAAGAGAAATATAGCTTTCTTCCTAAAAGCCCATAACTATTTCTAGCATACCACTATTGTGTTTGAATATATTAACTGATCATTCAATTGTAAACTGTTAAATGTTCAGACATGATTTTGCTTATAAATGCAGACAGGGAAAGACACAATACTCACCAACTCTTCACAGTGAGTATGTTTTAAACGTTTAGCTATATCTAGTGGCGTCTCTCCTGCTTCATTTGCTACATTACAGCAAGAAAAGAAATATATGATGAGCAGTGTCATTATTAACATGTCCATTACTAAAGACAAGATACATAGTGAAGTACTAGATCAACCCACTAAAACTCATCTCTTTCCTTCATAGGTAGGTTCAACTCTTATCAATCCTCTGCTCACGACAAGCAGTAGTAATTCAATATGCTATATATAAATATAAATGACAGCCATGAAATGGCAGTATATATCTAGACATAAAAGACAGCAATTAAAAAACTAAATCTGTTTAAAAATAAGTGTAATGTATAAGTTAATTTTAAATTTGAACTAAACAGTGAATATTGATTCTTCTTATAATGAAGATTACGTTTACAGAATTATGATAAACAACTGAGGAGAAGACGCACTTATTCTGACTTCACTGTTTCTTATCTGAAGCAGTGACAAATAGGAAATCGAAGTACACATTACCCTTTTACCTATTTCAATAGAAGCCTTCCCTCTCAGCAGCAGTTTGAGGCACTCAACATTGTCTGTTAGACAGCAGTAATGCAGGGCTGTGCTACCTTTACAGGTTTGCTTATCTAGATTGCCACTATTGGAGAACAAGAAAGAAGAAGAAAGCAGATTAAACTTAAGTTTCCTACTCTATATGATTAAATTGCTCTCATTTGAAGATTTTCAAAGAATAAAATTACATTTGCAAATACGGTTTTAGTGTTTGTATTCATTTAGCATTTGTATTACTTGACACAAAAGCCAAGTCAATATATAGTTTCCATACACTCACCTGTTCTGCACTAAAAAGTCAACTATATGAAGTGATGTTCGATCAACTGAACGAACAGCAAGGTGCAGTGCTGTTTCATCTTGCTCCTAAGAATGAAATGAAAAAACACATTTATTTCCTCTGATCTACAGAGAAGCAGAAATTCTATTAAGACATAAATTAGATCAATTAAAACGCGTCATTTCAAAATATTCAGACACTTTACCATTAAAAACACCTGTGAACACTTATGTGTCCCTTTCGTATCTTTAAAGCAAACAAACAAATGGGTTGAAAACTAACAGATTATTGAATGATTTTATGTTTAGCATTTTAATGCATTTAAAACTCAATAGTATTTGGAACCAATTTTAGTTTAAACTATTTAGTATCATCTGTTGTTATTGCTAAATGACATCGTTAAAAGGACAAGCATTTAGAACAGCGTTTCAAACGTTATTTTCAAATAACTTTTAATTAATGAATGCATATTGCACTTTTAACAATTTGACTAATAAAATTTACAATACTTACATGGCCATTGGCCAGTGGGATTTTTTCTGTGAGATCCACGCCGTCAGCATATACTTGAACTAAACCAAAAATGTCTCTTGATTTGACTGCTTCACAAAGAGCATGCAATTTAGCTGCATTGTCAGCGTGCTTCTTCCTTGCATATTTTCTCTCAATATACTTGGCAGTAATATAATCTTTTCTTGCATTCCTGAAATTGAATATGATTTACTTCTATAACTTTCATCAGAAGATACACATTAGCATTTCCATAAATACATGCAAGTCATTTGAAAGAAGATCTGGGAAAGACTAGTTCTCATTCATTATGATAATTTTCTTTTTAAATATGCATGTAACCATGCAGCCTCATATTTCAAGTATGAAATGTAGTTACAGAGGATGAATCAAATATCCAGTACAAAGACAGACCACAAATTTTCCCCTCCAAACTCTGGTGCGTAGCTGAGGTAAAGACTACCCAGCTCTACGTACAGAAGATACATCAGAGCTTCATAATGCTGGTTTTATGTTGCCTTGCAGGTTTATGTTTACCTGAGTTGTACTCCTGTGCACATGCTGGAAAGAGATGGAAGGCATGGGACACAAAAAAATTTATCTTATACCTCTGCACAGACTATCCAGGCCTTGAATTTGAATTCCCAGTAGTGAAAGTACATCCTTTAAAGCAACTTTTCACAATAGCCATAAAGGGAGGATGTAGTGGAGCTTTTAGTTGCATTTCTAAAAAAGGTGAAAACTTAGCACATCTGAATCCACAAGAGTTATCACTTTTGCTGTTGATGCCTAATAACACATATCTGCTCTTCTTCCCATCACAGCAGGACAGGAGCTTACATGCCTCCCAAAGGCATAACTCCTTACCAGCTCTTGGGATGGACACAACATTGCACAGAAGACATTTAACAAAGTCATATCTTATCACCTACATACTATGCAACAGGCAAAAAGAAAAAACCTAACAAATAATAACAAATTGAATCAAGGGATAGCTCTTGTTCATAAAGCATTTGATAGTACTCCTTTGCAGTTTTTAAAGTGTCTTCAGATTCTCATTTCAATAAAAAAGCCCCAAATTTTAGATGTAGAGGTATCAAAATACATGATTTTTTAAATAAAATTTTTTAGAAGTGGTCTTATTATATTGTTTTACCAGTCAGTAAAATTATCAGTAGTTTTTAATTATTAATATTAATAATCTGCACTATTATTGATAGCAGTAATTGAAAATTATTTAAACTGCATTGTTTAACACTGGTTCTGTCAGAATGCTTGAAGTCCACATAATGTGAAATCAGCTTCATCCAAAGCCAATTTTTCTGGGTTTGTTTCTGCATTGTTTACTAGCTCTTTTATGATGGAGTCGTATCCAGCCAAGCAGGCAGCTGTCCTTGCTGTATCTCTGCCATCGCTGTTCAGTGTTTTCGAGGAATTCAGTGAAATGTTCTGCCTTTATTCCACATGATTACAGACTTCAGTCCTAGGTGTAGTTCCTGAACACTACGTGTTCAGTATCTTAAAGGTAAATGTGCAACTTACTACGTGTTTAAATAGGACAAAATTATTGCCTAATTTTTTTTAATCCCTATCCTTGTGTGTCTTTGAAGTTCCCAATAAGTCATGGGTAATTTGTTTCTGTCCCACAAGCCATGATTCAGAGAGTTGGTAAAATAATCCTTACTATTAGGGAAGGTAAGTCAGACAAAGCTCAATAAAACAGACATGCAAAGCATCAGAAAAAAGATTTCCTCCTTGGCTATAAGACTATAAATACGACACTACACATCTTCCATGGCCTGCCAGTCCAAACCATAACGGCACAACCCCTTAGCAATATTAAATTAAATGTCTACCTTTCTCAAAGGTAGTGGCTCTTTACTTACATATCACTGCTTGGGTTAGGTTTGACCGTCTCATCGACTGGCAGACAGAACTCCATAATTTCATTAAACCCAGCATTACCAATATTCTTTGCAAGCTGTAAAAAAAAGTAAATCCGCAGCTCACTTAATAAACATGCTCAGTTACTGTCAACACACACATTAGCACACCAAGGGGAGGACAAGGGAAAATGAGAGTTGGGATCTCTTATTTCTGATTCCTTGTTCTGCTACTATGTCAGTGATAATGAGCAGATTAGGTACCTTTTTGGATGTTAATTTTCAGTTAGGTTTAGCACATGAACAAGTAACTGCAGAATAATCCATCAAGACACCAGTTCATATGATAAATGCAAATACTTCGTGCTGGGTAAGAACACACATATGAACTGTCACACAGAGCAGCTGATAAGTGGTAACTTCTTTGTGTAGCAAAGCTGAATACATTTTCTTCCTTTGGGGATTAAAGTTTTCTTCTAAAAATAACACTAAATAATTAATGGGATAAGTATTTGCAAGTCCTTCAATTTTTAATCTTAGGCACATTTATATGTCAAACAGCTGTGTTCTTACAAGGAGCAACCAAGGGTAAAAAGACCTGAAAACACAAAAAATATGAAGCCTCTACTAATTTGAATTCTAAGATAAGGAAAAGTTTACTGTAGGACACTATGTTCCAGGAGGTTCCATTAAATTTGCATTAAGCTTTCTTAAATTATATTTATCCAGAGGTAACTTTCAGGATTGGAACAACATATTGTTAAAGTGCTAAAAATATACTTGTGTTAGAAGTATTTTACAGTACTATTTTTAAGTTAATAAAAGCAATTTGCTTACCAAAAGTTCAGATGTTCCCAGCACATCTAATGTAAGTGATTGCATCCTGGAATAGTGAACACCGAGTTCTCTATGGATTCCTGAGCATTCAATGCAAGTTAGAATTCCTAAATTTGTTGAAAGCCAGGTAGGATCTGAAAAACAAAACACCCACAGAATTAAAATTCATTCAGACAATTATTTCATTCTAGAAAATGTAGCAAACAGAAGTGAAATAGTTTTGAGATTGGACAGACCATATTATCAAACTGTAGAACCACTGCCTGGGGCGGGCGGGCGTTGTGTGTATTCCCCTGGGCCTGAGGGCCTGATTAAACGACCTGCTCTTTTTGTCTTATCTTATACACTAAACTGGCCTGGAGTTTCTTCTGCATGATCTCCTTAAGTTACAGTTTGGCTTGCTTACAGTTTTGAACTTACTATTAAGTAAAATAAGGTTTTTGCACATTAATTATATATTTTTTAATTTACGTCTTCACGTTTACTTTACTGGGAAACAAAAACAATGGGTTTTTTTAATGATAAAAGAAGTGAAGATTAAAATATTTATTTTATTTTTGTGAAGGACGGTGCTCTCCAAGGGAGCTACTCAACCAGTCCAGTTTGTCATTCTTCACACAACCTTTCAGCAACTGCATTTTTCTACCAATATAAGTGTCACATTCTCAACTGGCAGTACCGGTGCAATTTAAGCTGAAATAACAATGGGTTGTTGTTAGGGTTGGCGGGGGTTTTTTTGTACTTCAAATACAGAGTTCAGACTAAGTGAAGCAGAAGTGATTCTGAAGTACACATACAGCACACACTACAGTGGATTCTAACTCAACTATTTCAAAGATACTAAGGCTCATCCCTTTCCTTTTGTAACCCTTGCTTGTCTTTTCTCCCAGTATTTTGAATTTTATTATAACATTCCCTCATCTTCCAGACAAATAATTAATTTCTGAAGTTTCAGACAGCTTAGTAACTTATTTATTTGATAAAGGTTTGGTAGTTGTTATTTAGATTCTTCTCCTTTTAAGAGAGCAGGATTGACTCTTCCCATAGTCTTATCCAATATCTATTGCTGGAAGTAACTATCGATTTACAAAGTGCAGGCAGCATCAGATCTGATGTTTTCAGCTACAGTTCCACATCAAAAAACCCTAAGCCCTGCAGCATCTCTCTAACATAAAAGAACACAGGAAACAGCAGGATTTAAAAAATAAACTAAAGAGGATTAAAGTAGAAATTCATTGATCAACAAAACCAGCACTGCAAACCATGGTCAGTGCAGGTGCATTCTCTTCCAAATGAGCACAGCCTTAGACATATTCCCTGTCTCATTTAGTCACACATTACAAAAAAAAAAAAAAAAAGAAAAGTGTATTGAGAAAATGCTTCGTGTCTCTGATGGCTGCTCAGTTTTACCTAAATCTTATATTATTAAACCATATTTTATGTAAGTTCACTTATTTATGTAACCAAAAGCTACAATTAGCAAAATATATGGGACAAAAATAAGCTTCTTAGTAACTTTTCTCCCCACTGACAATAAGCATATAGCAAATCAATCTTACTAAAGTAGTTCCATTAAACTGTAGCATATTCTACTACATGCATAATTTTTGTGAGATAAGGAGTAAAAGTGAAAGCATAAAACATTAGCTTAAATAGTCTCATGAAACAAAGAATTTTTACCAATTAGAAATATGCTTAATTGAGTCACCTTGTGCTCCACAGTCACAACAAACATCATTTCCAGTCATCCTCTGGACTTCAGATATAATTTCTTTTGTCAGTTCCTGGACAATATTATTTTCTCCTGTGTTATCATCTCCTTTGAATGCATTATTTAAAGCTTCCTCTTTGCTGTTTTGTAGCACAGATGTCCATCTAAAATGGTAGTAATATTTTGCTATTAAATGTTTTGGCACTTCTAAAGTTCAAGGTAAGTCTCAGCAGAACACCAGTATCAAGAATAAAACTAGAGAAGACACTCACATTTGACATTCCTGTTCATCCTCTGCTTGAAAATGGTATGTTCTGTCATCTGCACAATAAATAATTCACATACTGATTAAAAAAAGTTATTGAAAAACTGATTTTGCAGAAATCTCGTCAAAAAATCTAAAATTAATTGATGTATGATTCCTGAGGTCTCTAGTCTCATCACTGCAGTGCTGGCAGACAGAAAGTCAATTTAGCAAGTTTCACTCTTATTACCTACAGTTCATCTATGATTAGACCCACGTTTACACAAGGTGGTTTGTTGCATTTTAAACAGAAGCTTTTTTCTTCACTGCTGTGCTTCTATCGCATAAGCAGCAGGAGAGCACAGAAATTTTTCATGTTCTAGTTATAACCTCAGTAATCACAAGTCTAAAGTTCTGATGAGAGGGAGAGGAGTAAAACAGAGTTCGTATTTGAGTTTATCTGTATATATAAGATAGAAAGATTTAAAGAGTCCAAATGAGCTCTTGAAACCACAGTAAACAAACAAGGCAAAACAGATTTGCCAGACATGAAGTCTAAACTACAACCAGCATAAGCTGCAAGCTGCTTCAATTAAATCAAGCTCACAATTTTAATTTTACTACTACTTTTGTAATTCTAAGCATTGTTATCATACTGTACTACTAAAGAAAAAAGCATAATACATTTTAAGTCTCAGAAGCAAATGATATATGACACGGTTTAATAACTAAGTTGGAGTTAAAATTAGAATTGTAAATGAGAAGAACGGAGGTAAAGCTACTGGCAAAAGGATATTCTAAAATGAAAATCTCTTAAGTTTGAAAAACATTCAGGCAAAAAGGTATTAAAAGATAGCTTCAAACATGGAAAATATTAAGGCAGTGAGTATATAAAAAAGAACAGAAAGGAAAGCGCTACATAAAGAGGTTTGATCTTGCCATGATACAGCAGTTTGCATTTTGTAAAAAAAAAAAAAAAAAGGAATATTTTTAAACTCTACAGTAAAACGAAGAGAAAAACTCATCTGGAGAAGGACAAGAGGCCTGTTGTGCCTTGTCAAGTGTATGATAACGTGACAAGCTGATATTGGGCAAAACATGACATGGTCATCAACAAAGAAGAAAAGTGCAAAAGTAAACAGGGAAGCCCAGTTACTTGTGTAAAAGTGAAGAAACTGAGTATTGCACACATGCATTCTTGTCTATTAACATAAGCAACACAGCTTACATTTACAAATGCAAAACAACTTTATGCACTGATAAGGAACAAATGAGGAATACATTTATATTCTTCTCCCCAAATAATTTGAGATATATATTTCAGCAAAATATCCTAGTGAGAAAACAAAGAAAACATTCTGTTACATAATTTTTGTATCATCCTGTTCTGATCCCAAAATTATTCAGTTTTAGTAGCACATAGACTCCTTATCTCACCTTTTTATCTATAATGAGATCACAAAACCAAAAAATTATTTCATCATTTTCTTCACTGTTACACAGCAACCACCATAATAAAATTGTAAAAAGTTTTAAAAATATCTTTTGATCTTGTGCAAAAATCATAACTTTGCAAGATGATCAGCCGCAACATTTTCAAACTAAAGAGGGATGCCAAGGCAAAAATGGTTACTCTATTGTAAGACAGCATAAAATGATATAAAAAAAAAGGGCTTAAGACAGCTTTTAAAACAAGTGGTTTTCCAAAGACACAGGTACAGTTAGTTGCATTATGCTAAAATAAGTGAAATGGCAAAGTGTCATAGGAAGGGCATTTTATAAAGTGAAGAATTCTACAACTGTGAAAACGTTCAAGGGGATTACTGACACACCTACAGAAATAATGCAATACTCTGCTACGAGCTGCAAGTAGAAAGACCTAAATAACAAACCTACGTGATATGAGGTCAAAACATTTTTTCTCCTCTGGGTTTGTTTTCACTTGGCAGGTTAACAGATTGAGCTTTGCTGGAGGTCGGTTAGCCTATTTGAAGATAAAACATACACATTTTAGTACATTGACACTGACTGAGCCCTGCGGTTTGAAAACACAGAACAACATCCCACTGGCCAAGAAGACTTGACAAAAGGCTTTTTAATTTTTTGATTCATGTTTTCATCTGCATCATGGTTTTTAAACTACTTATCCACTGGTAACTGGACAGACACTAGAATTTTGAAAGGGGAAGGAGGTAAAATCACTTCAATTTGCATTAACAGGTAACACTTATCTGAAGGAATCAGGCACGAAAAAGAGACAAGTTCATCCTACGTTTAATCCCCTAACACTCAGACAATTAGTTTAAAAAAATCAGTTGTTTAGTTTTCGGTAATAGTTTGACTCCTGCTAATGTTTTTGAAGGGTCCTAGGTAATCAGTTTAGAAGGAATGCTCAATTTTTAAATCAGTAAAGGCACACATCGAAGGAAAACTGGAAGTTTGCATAGAGAATTCTTGCAGCAAGAATATGTAAAACTAAACTAAGCTAGCCAATTACTAACTAGTGAGACAAAATGTATTTTATAATGATAGATGTTTTCTAGTCAAATTGTTAGTCAAGTTCCCCTCAGCGATTTCAGTTCCTTTTTTAATACAAAGTGGCAATATTTTACTAAAAGCAAACTGCATAAGCAACCTGCACTTTGAAAAAGACTCATAAAGACTACAAAGACTTTTTTAAATAGCACCTCTGCACTAACCTTTTCTTTCTCTTAACCCACCTGCTCTACAGACCTAGGGTAGGACCTAGAAAGACACGTTTGTAAACTTGACTTGAGGAATGGTTTGCAATTCCTACAATGGATAACTAGTTTCACTCTTCTTTTAGAATAATTAAATCATGAAAACAGACTTAACTAGTGAGCCTTTGCTCTAGGTAATAATATCTGAAAAATAGTAATTTAAACCATTAGGAAAGTACTATCATAAAGATAGCAATTTTCATAAACACATTATCAAACGAAGCCGAATTAATTTGCAATGAATCATAAGAAACATAGATATTCTCACAATCTCTTCTAAATTTATTGATGAAAACATTTAATTCAAAAAAAGGAGGGACAACAAGTCCAAAGAATAAAGATTCCCTTGAAACAATCTGATAAAACAATGTAGCTGGCCAAAAAAGAACACCACCATTTTATCTGAACAACAGTTTAAAAAAATCAAACCCACAGAGAAACATAAGAAGGGAAACAATTATGTTTTTTTTTTCCTGTTAGAAAAAAAAAAGAATCATGGTGTCCTTGAAAAACAGCAAGATCATGCTTTGCCCAGCATAAGCAGCAGACAAAACAAAATCATGCAAGCTTTGAAACAATAAACCTGCAGGTCACTTGCTGGTCAATGTAAAATGAATTATACCCACGAGAGGTTTCAGAGGCAGCAAGATGACAATTTATTGACAACCACATTGTATTCTCTGCCTAATAAATAGCTTTTCAAATACCAGACATTCCTTTTAGAAGTAAAAGTGCATAGCGATTTAATTATTTAGTTATAAATTACATATAAATATATAATTATATATATTTATATAGAAATATTTATAAATTATTAATTAGACACTGGGCAGCTCGTATATACTTTTCTCAAAGCCTCTTTGAGACTGTAAAAACGCAAGTACATTTAGGTTAAGAGAGAGAATCCCCCTGCCCCAGGACTCTGGATCTGAAGCACATTCGGGACCTAATTAGTTTTCTATAACTTATGAAAGATGAAGCTGTAAATGAATGCATTAAAATACTTCAGAGAGGGCTGCAGGACCAATGCACACAGAACCTGTCTCTCTGGACAAGGGAATGCAGCATTAATAATTCTGTATCAGGATCTGAGAACCCAAAGAAATGGCTGCAACAACCTGGAACACATCCTGGGCCACACATATTCTACACACATATTCTAAAGCTTTTATCTGAGGATCCCCTAACCTGAAATCAGCATTAACGAGGGTATTAAAAACCCTTAGCATGTGGTTGATACCACCTCATTCATGCTTCTACCCTGCAGCAAATAACATATTTCCATCACACGGCAGATGGTGCTTGGGGAGAAGTTGGAGGTAAAGGACAAAGAGAGGTAAGGTTGTACAAATTCTTCAGTCACACTAAGCTACTGTAGGTGGATCTGGACATTTGGCAGGATTACGAGACCTTGGATATAGAAAATGATAACAAATGTGTAACTGCTATTATGCTACTTCTTTGAAACCTCTGAGCTTCATTTTCCTGCTCAAGCCTCTGCTCAGACCACTGCTGAATTTCTGGACACCTTGTTAACAACCATGTTAACAACCCTCAAAAGATGTGCTGCACTTTTCATGCTGTACACAGACCTAAGCATCAACTCACGCTACTTCCTGAAGAAATGGCAACCCCCTATCCAGTAAGACTGACTTCTAATCTGTTCCAGCAACATACAGTAAGTGTAGGAATCAAAAGGTTAGGCATCTGAAACAATACAGGAGCGCCACGATACAGAGCTGATTTTTATAAAAGGTATGAGCTGATGTGTCCACTTAACAGACTGGTTGGTTGATTTCATCATGCATTTTTTCTGGATATCACAGTGATTTAGTTCAGAATAAAAAGATTAAATCTGATTGTTTTGTCTTCAGATTGTCCTGTTAATCATCATAGTAGATTAAACTTTCCAGTAGTAAAGAAAGAAGAACAAAGAAAGATTCCTCAACAGTGAGGCTATCTTATATTCTTTTTTTTTTGCAGACAATCAGCAAATTTCATTTAAGTTCTTTAAACACAAATCAACTTTGAAGAATCTGATGTTTCTGAAATCTGAGTTTCTTCCTTGTGACTTCTTGATCTGAAAAACACTTAGGAATTCCTAATTACATGGTTCAATCTGCTTCTGTCATTGTGTCTTCATCCATGTACATTAAATTGCAATCAGGTAGATGTCAGGAAATTTTTGACAACTAATAATTACACAAAGGACCAGTGTCTGTTTTTCCATCAGCCATTACCTTGCACATTGCTCTATGAATGCTAATTTCTTTGAAGCTTTTAGTTGTCTAAAAGTGTAACTTCTGCAGTGCAGGCAGGTACATTCAGTAGCACAGCTGGGTGACTGACGGAGAACCAACCATATTCTCTCCATCTGTCAGGAGAACACTTGCCAGGCAAGTTTAACTCGGAATACGGCATCTGCAACCGCCTGAAAATAGCTGGTCTAGAAACTAACTGAAAAAATAGTCCCTCATTAAGAGAAGCTACACGACCAAAGAAGAGAAATCCATCAAGAATACTTAGCCTTTAAAGGAAAAGCATTTACAAACTTGTATTTCATAAAGAAAACAAAACAGTCAACTGAATTTCTGAGAGATGGTTCATTTTAATGAACTGCCGGGACAAGAGAACAGGACATCATATTTTAGTGACCAGGAGATATCAACCCTGAGAAAGCTTGGAAATCCATGTTGTTCCTTCAGAATTCTCAGAGGATATTAAAAAAAATCTTAATAAACAGAAATCGCTTCTACTCATTTTATTAATATTCAAAATATTCATTAATTTTTACATAAAACTGCCATCAATACATAAGGGGAAAGTGACCAAATAAGTGAAAATACTTTTTAGGAGTGCATTATAAAACAAGAAGGGACACTTTTAATGTTGTAATATAAAAAAATCAAGACCAAACCTGTGAAACTCCCGTGGTTAAACTCCCATTAAACTATCTATGAACTGATTTCCAGCTACAGCTCCACTGTTTTCAGTGGGAACTTACTGCTTCTAAAAATGTCAGACCATCTGGGAGACAGCTTATAAAAAGAGAAGAAAGCAGTATCTTGATAGACTCAATAACTGCACTCACATGTGAAAGTTTTCAAATTCTGCTCCACAAGTGGATTTCGTAGCCCCTGCCAGCTCTGAGCTGCCCCAGCTACACTCCCACTGGTACCAGCACAGCGTGTCCAGCGCCAAGTGCAATCACAGCACTCGCAGACACCAGAACAGAACACACCAACAGACTCTTCTCTGACTAAAACAACTCATACACATCAAATGACAAGAGGGATAAACTGGTGGACAATTCCAAAGCCATAGTAATGACTCTGCTTTGCAGGGCTGGCTTTACACTCCTCCTTTAACTCCTGGTTATCAATTCTGTAGGCAGCAGCCTGTGCTTAGATGCACAAATGAGAGATTGATTCATCTTTGCTGCCAGGGTCAACTTGTAGTCATAGCAACAAGCACAACAGGATGAAGAACAGAACAGTTCATAACAGGATCAAGAAACAGGACTGTTTATTAGACCAAGAATGGGAAATAGTGACACTGAGTTATTTTTTGCCTTAAGAAAGTTTCTTAAAAGTTTTGAGAAAACAGTATAAAAAGAGAAAAGTTACAAGAAAGCAAAATCAAGTTGAAAGCCAAATGCAAAAGGTCCAAAACATGAAAGTATAAATTTTTATAATTTTAACAAACTTTTAATATTTATACCTAATGTGTTTCAAATATTGGTAGCATTAAAAGAGAGGGACTCTATTTCCTGTCATTCTGGCAGAAGTTGTTTTCAGAGTTGACTTTCACCAACAGCTACTTCTCAGGAGCTACCTAACAGACAACAATATAGCAGCAAATCTGGGGGAGAGAAGAGAGTCAGCATACTCAGTTTATTTTGCAAATCTCCTCTCCGTTTATATTGCAAATATAAAAAGTTGTTTAACTCCTATCTTAAAGATGGCTTAATGCCCAACCACATCTTTGAAAAAAAAAAAAAAAAAAAAAGAAGTTTGAATTTGTATTTTTAGATATACTGGTAAAGTATGAACACTTACATGTGCTGAGTCACTAAAAAAGCCCTTTTTTCCCATTAATAGTCATAAGCATTAGAATAGCTGTATTTTTAGATACTGTGTATGTCTTGATGTTTTACTGAAAAGTTGTCTTAAAAAAATAGTATCCCTCATATTCAAAACACTGCACCAGGAATCTAGCTAATTCCAAATTACAAATATAGACCAGCGAATCTTTTCGTATTAGCAACCATGTACATAAAATACTGTAAACAAATACTTACTGTACCATGGGAAATTGTAAGAAAACCATTTTTAACTGAGCACTTCCTTTTCTGCCATACTTTTCTGATTCTAGTTTAAAGGGGGAAAAGAAAAAAGGTAACTCAGTTTCAAATGTATTTTGTATGACATTGCTTCAGTTCTTAGGACCTAATGTTTTTTCCAGCAGACTCCAGCAGTACTTACCCATCACTTTTCTTATACAGACTGCCATTCCGTTCAGTGCCATGTTCCTTGTTTCCCTGAGGCTGGTGTAAACTGTAAGCTGTACTCTGGCGAATCTGAGAATCCTGAAATAATCAACAGCAATTTGTAATGCATTCCACACTTTCAACCAAACTAACCCCCCATTAATGAGTTTCAGAGCTTTTCCTTCCTGCTCTAATCCAACAGGCCAAATGAAGCCTATTTTTCCTCCTCAGTGAGAAAGAACAAGATCCGTTTCTTTTTTCAGAGGGCACAAAAACCATTTGAGGAGTAGCCATTATCAGCAACTGCCAAAATCCTTTCACTTGCTTTATTTAGATTTACTGTTGGCCTTAATATATTGGGGTTTTAGCTCAAAACTTAATTAAGCAGTGGGTTTTCCAGCTCATGCAAACACTATGGGCTACAAACATTAGAGATTATTTTTACCTGCCATTGCTAGTCTACCCTTCCACTGTAAAAAAGAGAATTATATACATCAATCTGAAGAAGTGATTTTCCTTGTGGAAATTGAGTCAAGTTATTGTCCGAAAAGCACAAGAGACCTCCTGGTAACATAGTTCAGGAGTCATATAGAAAAACTGAAAAAATCATTTCCAGAAGAAGAATGATTTAAAGCAAAGTATCTCAAACAAAGTAGGATTCTGGCACTGGAAGAGACAAGGATTAAGTAAACCCTTCTCACTGCTCTCAGAACTACCCAGAAGCAGGACCCACTGCTGCAATAGTCCACCTTCTTAAAAAATAAGGACCTGAAAATGAGGAATCTGACGTGTCATGCTATATTGGCAGCAGTAACATGACAGGATGGACTTTTAAATGCCTACAATAACAATGACTATTACTTGTAATTGTTTTTTTCTATTATCACTGCTATATGGACATAATTACATTTCTGTTACATGAGGCAGATAATACAAGTATAGCAAGGGAAAAACCCACAGAGCAGCTCACTTACAAGACTATGAGCTATTCTAAACATGATGGTAAGGACAGACTGCCACCTACACCCCTGTTCAGAGCACTGAGGACTCCACACCTCCAGGCTGCAGGATTTCAGGTTCATCCTGAACACAGCGCTGGAGTTCAGGGGTCCTGAGAACCACGAGCTGAGCTCCACGCAGGCTGCAACACTCCTTGGTGCTCCTTCTCAGCAGAAGCAATCTGTGCCCACTTCCCTGACTCTCAGCTAGCAATCTAGGAAGCTGTATTAGGTAGCTACAACATGCATCTGAGGCTTTTAAAGGCACTAGAAAACCACTACTTAAATGTTTGTGCCTGACAAAGCAGGCCTTCTGATTTAAACCAGTCTGTTTATCGTTCCTCTCCAGTTTGTTTACACAGAATTATTTGATTTTGCACTCTGTCTACACAACAGAGAGCCAGAGCAACATTTATAAAAAATTCCTGTCTCTCATTAAGAAGCCCTGCACGTGTACAATTACTGACTTCTGAAGAAAATCTGATCTGACACCGCCAGTTGTGCCCTACCAGTGCCTTGCTCTCTGCCTCCCATTAGTCAGTAAAGGAACTCCATTTCCGAGAAGATTAGGGGCCTTACAGGAAATTAATTTCAGTTCTCCCCATCCTCAATTATGTAAAGATTTCAGGTGACCTCCAAAACCTGCTCACAGCACCACTGCCATTACTAAAGTCTGAGCTGCTCTTTTTTGTGCATTATTTTCTGCCGCATTTCAGCTCCCTCCCTTCAGCTGTTTACCCTCAGCTGCTGTGTTTGGCCAAACTGGCAAACCAATAATACAAGCTTCCTGCCTTACTTCAGCAGGAGAGGAAGCTGCTGTAGCTGACGTGTATTTCCACGCATTCATTACTATGAACAGTGTCTTAAAAAAATTTAATACTATTTCATGGAAAGAACCTAAAGACAAACATATTTGCCATTTTAAATCGCCAGTTCAGGTCATGTCGAGATCAATAATGTCCAAGGTGATTGCCAGATGATGGTTTTCCACAGCTCTCTGACAAGAAGCGCATGATTTTGTCTATCTCCTAACAGACAGGATGCCACCCCACAAATCACCATCACAAGTAACATCCTTCCAGACAATTTCAGCATGCCTTTTCCATATGCAGGCTCTTCAAAGGATCTTCCCTTATTTCTGGTTGGCATATTGCACAGACCAGAGATACAAACCACAGATAACAGGGTCAGACTCAATGGCCTCATCGGAGGACCAGCAATAATGCACATTACCTATGGGAAGAAATGAATCACCACAGGATAGAGGACATACCTAGCACAGAGCACTGTCGTTTTAAATATCTCTGAACATAATAGGATCAGAACAGACTGAGGTACACGAGCCTAAGAAACTGAACTTTGACCATTTTATCAGCTTCAAAATGCAGATAGGCATAAAAAAAAGGTGACTCATTTAATTGCAGTATGTTTTTAGTGAACCACTTCCCTTACCATAAAGAGATTTAAAGTTATTTCTTCCAAAGTTATAAAGACAGACTGACTTCAAGCTGAACACCATAGCTATAAATTAAATAAATCTGAAAACAGTATTCTCTAAAGATGGTCTGTGACTACTGGTATTCTAAAATCCTCTTTATCAGCCCCACTATGTGAACACAACAGAACTGTCCAATACAAGGTGCTTCACTTACACACCACAAATTCTGGCTAGCCATTCCACAACTCCCATGGAGCAGGATTTTTAGACTGTTCAGATCACTCCAGTGTGTAAAGCTGCCAAAAAAAGTCCTTACAGTTCTTCCGGAGCCTGAACTTCTCTGGCATTTGCAGGATGTTTCAGAGATCCATCCCTTACCTATTACAGCCCCAGAGAGCCTCTAAAAGACATATCTACCAGAACTCCCTGCAGGCAGCCTCTCCTACAGCACAGCTATGGCAATTTTCGTCAGGAAACACAAAGTTTGTCGTATTTTACAGAGGCCTTAATAGATTACAGGTCCTACCAAAGAAGCAGAAGCAAATCTAAACACTACAGTCACAGGAGGAGGCCTCACCCAAGGTCATGGAAACAAGAACAGTTTAGGCAGTACAGGTGACTCCAAAACTTGCAGGACCTCCATAGTTTGAAAACTCAAAGTTTAAAAATTAAAAATTATGAAGGTGTACACAAAATGACGTTTCAAAAAGAAGTTTCAATACAAATCAGGTTTGAGGAAGTTCTGTGCAGGAGGAAACTACATACACAGGCACAACAAAAGAAAGGTCACTATGAGTGCTTGTGTGTTTTTTTAAACACAACAGAAACAATATTTGTCAACATTCCATCATTTCTTACATGAAGTCCATTTTAAGTAAAAATACATGAATCTTCAAAATCTTGCAAGAACATCAAATCAAGTAACTGGATTCAATTTTCCAAAAGAAAGTGTCACAGAAATCACCAATTTGTCTTATAACAATTTTTTTTTTTCCCCCAAGAACAATCTGGTAACTTTTTTCTTTTTTTTCTTTTTGGTACAAAAACCCAAACCAAAGTGGAGAAAGAACAAACCAGTCTTTTCATGCCAACAGACAAGAGCTCAGAGGAAAAATCCAGTTTCTTGAAATCTCAGTGGAAATCATGCCAACTATTTTCATTAAAACATGGTAACACTTACTCTCCTAGACTTCGGTCACAAAATGTAAATGCATTTCAGGAAGGAAAAAGAAATCAGTTATAGTAAAGGAAATTACAGTGCAACAAGAATAATATTAGTGGGTTGTACAGTAAATTATACCACAGTTCTTTGGCATCCCACTGATTAACTGACATTTTCAAAAAAACTTTAAAAATAATTATACTCCTCGTGCTCTGCAGGTAAGCATCTATATCTAGATTTGCAGAATTAATAAATAATAGCTATAGCACAAAGCACTTTTTATGCTTGCATTTTTAGATGTCACAAACCCAGCAGAAATAATAAATTTATGTGTATTATTAATTTATGAGTTTATGAACAGATGTGTACTCATCACATCTTCCATATACATTTAATATCAGTATCACTGATAAAGAGGTAAACATAGAGAAGCAACATTTGCAGCAACCACGACACCCAACTGCTTCTGGTATCTCTCTTGAGCAACGACTCAGTTAAAATAAGAAGCCTGCTAACACACCCCAAACAGCAGTGACTCCTTATTGAGAGTGGGCAATCAATGGTGAACCCAAAGCAGTCACCATTTCCATGAGGATCACTGGTTTCTAATTCTGTAGAGCTCCAATGTGGAAGTTTTTGGCAAATCAGTGAGCCCTGAATGCCAGGCAGAATCTAAGAAAGGGCCTGCAGACTGTATGGAACTTCGTACACAATGGTCATGATCACAAACGTCACAAGGTAACAAACAGCATCTCAAAGTGAAGAGCATTCAAGGCTGTTCCAAATGCCTGTCAGCAGGTCACAGAATCACATGGCTTTGGGTTGGAAGGGACCTTTAAAGATCATCCAGTCCAACTGTGGGCAGGGACATCTTTCACTTGTTTACATTGCTCACCCACATCATCTGTCACCAGCAAAAGCCAGGAGTCACCGTAACTTTTATGGGAAGATCAAAGCAAGACCGGAAAACATCAAGGAAGTCTGAGCTCTACAGACTAAACTATTTCATCATGATCCCTCTCAGAAAGAGAATCTGAAAAGAGGGAGGGGGCTCATTCATCACTTTTCATGGCCTAGCAGCCAAACAAAGGAAGCTGGCTGGTATTTATTTCTACAAAGAAGCACTAGCAATCTGAAACAAAAGTAGACCTAATATTTAGGATTACAGTATACAAAAGATGCCTACTTCCAGATCAGAGTCTGCAAATGAAACTACTCCAGAGCTCATTGAATCTAACAGCAATCATAATCAAAACTCAAAAAATACTTTCTTGTTGGATTGCCAGACTGACCCAGCCCTTGCACATTTGAACCCTGGCATCTTGCAGCAGAGTAGCAAACTTGACTGTTACTTTTGCAGATGATGACAGAGGTGGTTTGGGATTTGAAGTTCAGTTTTACATAATCTTTATACAGTTTGGAATAGTATTGAGAGATAAGGTTCCACGAATAGGGTCTCCTTAACACTGCCAAAGTTCTTTCATTCTCACTTTGAGCAACAGTGCACCATCTAAATTATTTTGCAATACTGGCAACACAAAGAAATTACTTTTCAGTAAGTCTCATACTTTTGGTGGTAATTAATTTAAAAATTTTTGTCAGAAACTTCGATATCAACATCAAAACAAAGATGAAGGAATAAAAGAAATTAAGATGGCTGATAAAAGTTAAAACAACAGTTATGAATACTAACATTACATTAGAAGTAATTAAAATAGGTATTACAAAGTTAAACCATCTTATATGCTTACCTCTTTCTGATCAACTTGGAGTGCTGATTTTAAAATATCCCTAAGCTGTGTTAATTGTCTTCTTTCTTCATCTTGTGCTTGTTTAATCTTGAATGAATAAAAACACGGGTTAAAAATAACATTATTTTCTATTTTCAATGAAGGTCTTTCAAATTTACTGCTTAATTAGTTCATTTCTCTAAGAAATGTTCAGCAAGAATGAAAACAAAGAGAAAAGATAATGTAATCGATTTATTTTCCTTTATATCTTCAGAAAACTTGATAATGGCAAGGATGTTGTTGGATTAAGACTTTCATATTGCCTCACAATATTCTTGCTTCCTTGTGTTCCATTTGAAACCACCTGTTATTTTCCACTTAGTCAGTAAACACTTTAGAGCAAAGGCTGTTTTCCAAACACTTTACACAGTGGGGTCCTGAACTGAAACTAAGGCTTCTGAATGCTTTACTGGAACAAGATTTTACTCAACAATCTACTGAAACCCTTAAAATGCTGACTATTAAAACAGTCAGCCAACCTGAACCAAAATGTTCATGCTTCTACTGTAAAAAACTAAATTTACAACACAAATGTGAAAGTTTGCTACTCACTGTATAAAGATCTGTTGAGAGCGTCTCAATTGAAGGCTTGAGACTTTCAACTGCTTTTAACCCATCCTGAAAGAAACTTGAAAAGAAAAGCAAAAAACCAGTTGTTATTAAACTTCACTTTGTATTTTCTGCTTAAAAAGTTGCCAAAGGAAGACATGCATATTATTATGCCATGCCATAAACTTCAAAACATTAAACTGTTTTTACAATGCATCTTTGGCTGATCCACCTCTTTATTTCCATCACAGCTTATTCTAACATGCAAAATCCCCAATTAGATTCAGAACTGCCACAATCCACTGCCACATGAATTTTCCTCATTCTCACCTCAAATACAGGTTCTCATCCCATTTTGTGAAGGCCCAGAACAAGCAAGATTCATTTGCAGAACAGCAAAAGCTCTAGTAGATATAAAATAATTATGACTTCTTGAAGCCAAATAATTTCACGTCTGATGCAATCTTTCTACTAAAGGAAACCTTTGTTTCCCAAGCATTAATTACACTCTACATGTAAACTGAATATGCTACATCTTACTGTATTATATGTATTCTTGTATTGGCAGAGTAACATTATCTATGCCAAGTATTCCAGCTTTTTAAAAACCCCAATAATTCCAATTTTAAAAATAAATTTTAAGAAACCACAATTACATGCATATTTGATTAAAAATTGCTGCATTGTTTGCAACATGAAATATTTTCATTCTGGGAAGCAGACATGAAAGTGACAACACAGCACAGCACTTATGTTTTTGAAATGTTATTAAACGGATAGAGCAGATGAGCGACATACCAGAAGAAAAACTAATTTTAAAAGCAACATAGGGGGAAAAATACACAGATGTAGACCGGTGTTTGAAGAAGAAAACAGGTTAGCAGTGGTTCTTCTAAGGTTATAGCTGTGACTTCATTGCTACATTACTGATTTGTAAGAGTATCATAAAAAGGACATAATTCTAATGAGAACTATGTGTTTTGTTACTGGGTCCTCCAATTAACTAGAAAAAGAGTGATTCTTTCAACATAGTTTAAACCCACTGTTTATGCAATTTATTTTTCTTTAGCAGAGAATTAAGTCAGATCATTGCTAGATACACTCAAAAAAGTCCATCAAAAGTAACAGACTAGCTGTGTTTCAGGAGCAGTTTATAAACATGGCAAATTATTGTTTGGCACTCCTCTCAAGAGACAAGTTCAACCTCATTACATGTTTTAGAAAATGGTAACAAAAGGAATGGCTCGTCTATGACAAAAGTAATCTGTCAAGAGACATCAGCAAGAGCAGTTGAATTTTAATATTTATTTTGAAAATTCTAGAAAAGCATTATGATGATGTCAAAAGTTGAAAACAAAACACTGCTCCAGTTCTTGTGTAGATATAAAGAAAACTAAAACATACTTGCACTGAGCATGAAAGTACTTGATCAAGTTCTGAAGCAAGTCCACTCCCTTTTTAATCTTGATTTCATTGACTTTCAGCAGGTACTGTTAAAACAGTAATTCACAAAAGAAATCAATTATTACTGCTACAGTGTTTTTTTTTAACATTTACTTTCAGTTATATTTCAACAAGCTTTAACAGTTGCAGATTTAGAAGACCTAGAGAGAATGCATCAAAAAGTGGCTTTAAGGGTTAAATCACACAAATGGAACTGTTGTCACTGCTGATTTTTTATATCCTGTGAGGATATTTCACTTTGATTTGTTCAAATTGATAAAACATCCTCTAAGGCTCCTAGGGAAAGCCTCTGTTAAAGAAAGCATGGAAGGGTTTGTGAGGCAGATTTAGGAACACATTCTTAAACCTAGGAGCACACCTAAGAATCTATCTTACTAGTTGTTAAATTCATTGTTAAACAGATGTCATTAAGGAGGAAGCCAGTTTACTAAAAAAAAAGTGAGGGATTATTTTAACAATTTTTAAAATCTACCTGTTGATTTTATAGTTTTCATTATCAAAAAGTCCCCTTTTATGACTATTCAGAGGTAACCAAGTAAAAACTTTTTTTTTGTCCAAAATCTGAAGAAATACAGGATACACTTCAGCTATTCCATATTTAAGGTAACCTGATCCAATTTCACAGACTTCACCCTGCACTACCGCTACAACTGACTCACGTGAACTTTGCCTTTACTGTGACACAGCAAGAGAGAAGCATCTGTTCCTGGTTGTTTCTTAGGAAGGATACAGATGGGCAATTAGCTGACAACATCCATATGTTTATTGGGTACTCCAATCCCTTTATGCGTTTTGAACACTTTAGTCTGACTCTGTATAGGAATGTGAAGTTTTTCTTTTGAGTGCAAGCAGTTACTAGAAGTGGTATTCAGGACAACTGCAGTTATGCTATGCTGGCATATGAGTCAAATTAGCTATAATCATCACAGTAAAATCACCCGTGGTATATTTTTGAGTTAATGAATAGAAAAAACGAACACAGCAACTTGAATTCCCAACCACGGAACCAGACGTGTCCTTAAACGAATCGAACCAGAAATATGAGATTTAACATACTGCAAAATCACAAAGACTTCCAAGTAGAAACATTCTGAAACATCTTGAAAGACAACATCCTTAGCACTTTTTCTCTGCACCAGCCCAGCACTGTGCTAGACTAGAGTCTCTCCTCATGATAACGCAACAGCTGTCAGCACAGGGAACAATTCAGAGAATGATCTAGGGCTTAAAATAACTTAAAGTGAATTAGTAGTGTAAAGGTTTATTTATTTTAATCTCTTAGTGATTTACTGAGCTTTGCATTAATTTACTTGTTAAGTGAAATTAGAACATACCTAAATTCCCTCCTAAGTTTGTACATGATAAAAAAATGTGTTTTCACAAATGGAGGCTACTAATAACTTGGCATTTCCCTTTAGTGTCACGGCTGCCATTAAACAATTGTGGTTTTCAAATCTTTCCTAAAAACAGAAGCAGAACAATATGAATTTCACGTTGCATCTTACCTCACACATCTGTAACTGGAAGAACCTTCTTTCTTTCTCCATCTCTTCTGCAATTTCAGCTCCACTTATTTCTGTACGGATCATCCCATGTAGCTTAGCATGTTCTTTTTTCTCCTTCTCTATTTTTGTACTATAAGGCAAAAAGAATCAGTCAATGAAGTGAGAAATCCACAGCTTCTCAGGAAATCTGATTATTCACAAAGTCTTCTGACAGATGCAGAGCCAAACTCCTGTAGCTTTGCATACAACTCACTTCCAGATGACATTTCATTTGAAATTTGACAATGACTAAAGATCAGCAATGACATACAGTAGCTGAAATCTAATTCAATCATCTGTTGAAATAATGTTCTGACAGATATTCCAAAGGAAGACACTAAGTGAGAAGATACTAAGTTCTTACTCTGAAGAAAGAAAATACAGGAAAAAATAATGAGCTTTAATTGAAAACATAGGGGGTTGTTTAATCCCAACAGAGCAAACACTGGTTAACAGAGTTCAATTATGTCACCAGATTTATTGAGTCTTGCCTGTCATCAAGTCATCTTCTATATATACAGGGTTTCCTAAGCCAAAATCACAGTTGCTGTCTCTACTTGCTGCTGAGCCAGTTGGCAGTGGGAATGCCGGCCAGCCGGCTGTGCGCAGACTTCAAAGTCTGCTAGACCAGCTGTCCTAATTCCCTAAAAGTTTCCACGAACATTTTCGAAGAGCTCTGAATAAAACAGGTTCTTCTGCAGAATATAAATGGATAACCAGTGCCTCCCATAAACACACTTGTGCATTTGTTACAGCTATTCTTCGTATTGTTCCTAAAGGCAGCGGCATAATTAGACAACCCAGTTAGACAAGTCTGATATGGAAAAAGAGAAAGATAATAAGAAAATAAATAAGGGTGTTCGCTTTTTGGAGAAAGACTATTAGTTTGCCACTCATACTGTTTAGAATCTGAAAATTCAAAAAAAGCTTCCTGAGGAAATGCTATACTGCTGGTGAATAAGCAGAAGCATTACACAGGAACACAGGAAGGAGATCAGAGGAACAAATAACACACACAACTGTCCTACCTCCTCTTGGGTAGTCAAGGTCTCTCTCTAAAAAGATGACATGTCTCAAGTACTCTCTTAACCTGATGTTAACATTACCTTAACTGCTTACAGAAAATGTCCTAGATGGTCTAAGGACTTCCAATCAACAAAGTATTCTGAACTTACACTTCTCAAGAATGAGGAACTGCCTCCTGTTACACCTCGGGCAGTAAGGAAAAACAGGAATTAATCCCATTAATCCCACCCCATAACATACCCGCTGGGAAACATTTTGAGCAGCAATTTGAAAAGCCCCACTGCGCTCTCAGCACTGGCAGGCACAGCAGAGCCATCCCTGTGCAATATTCCAGCAGCCAGCACATCCAGCCTGCACTGCACTCCTCCTCAGCCCATCATATCTTGCCAGAAGCACATGTTTGGAGAGAAGCTCTTCTCCTTTGAAATAAATATTCTGAAAAACTCCAGTCACCTGAATAAAACCTCAATTCCAGACTGTTCTGTTTTCATGAAAAATAAGTGTGTACTCTTACCCAGTTACTGCCAATTACGCCATTTTGTAGGCACAGAAAACAGAGTCCAAACACAAGAATTAACTAGACAAACCTGAACAACGAAGATAAACCACTGCAAAAAAGACTAACAGAAAATGACAAACACGCAGCTCCCTTCTAGCACACACTCTAGGACCTAGAGTTTTCATTATATCAATTTTGATAGTCTTAAAACACTTAAACCGCAGAGCAAAGATGCAGGATGTTTCAGCTCTCTCAATTTCCACATATAACTTAACAATTCTTGAGGTCAGAGAATTCATTGAAATGTGTGTGAAGGCTAATAACTATCAATTGTTATTGTATGGTATTTTCACTGTTTACAGAGAACAATACTAAAACACAGGATGACAAAGCCATCTCCAAAATCGTAAGAGCTTATTAGCATGTCATAAAGTGTCTCTAAATGCTCGTTAAACCAAAGGACAATTAATACTGCCAAAAAGTCAAACATTATGCACAATATCACAGCATCCATTGTATTCCTCTTAAAAAAAGCTAGATTTTGGTGAAAGAGTCTTTTCAATTCTTTAAAGGATAAATCATGTTCTACAGGCAAAAAAAAATAGTTAAACCAAGACAAAAGCATACCAATCTCTACCAAGTAATTCAGAGAAAGACATCCTTGAAGCCATTTGTTGGAGAGTCAGGCTATATTGCTTCAAAACCTCAAAAAGATGCTTTGCCAAAAGCCCCAAAGCACCTCTCAGTGGCAAATACCAGAGACACATGACAATGCATTTCACACGTGCATTTATTATTTGTGCTTTTAATCTCTCACTACATCTTCATTTTTGTAACCCAGAATTTATCCTGCTATTTTGCTACCTCCTATGTGACTGATACTACAGGACACTTTGTTTCTAGGGAAACAAAGAAATTCTGTACAGCAATTTTGCATGCAAATCTGCGTGCAAAAGGTTAGCTGTGTTTCCCATCCAAATGCAAGGATCAGTTCAGCTTCAAGTGTCACTCTATTTGACATTAACCAAATCCTTTTGGCAAAGGCAGTTCTGTGGCATAACACTGTGGAATTTCAAATATTGCAAGGTATTCAAGTTTTCCAGGTAGATCAATTAGGCAAAATTAATGTGAAAATTGTGAAAACTCAAAAAAAAACTACTCCAAAAGCAATAGGAAAGCAGTAAACGTTCTGTAATGCTGCTGCTCTTGAAGCTCGTGCAGCACATACCACATGTATCACATAGACTTTGCTGACTAAGATTAAACTCCGAGCACACGTCAGACCATTTACAACGCAGCTGCACGTAACTAATATACAGCGAGCTCAGATGTGTGGAGCAGACAAGCAAAGCAGAAACACAGGATGAAGAACAACAGAAATGTCAAACAAAGTGAATGGTCTCACTCATTCAGTTTCCAAAACAAGACTATTTTTACAGCTCTAAATTGAAAAGCAAATGTTTTTCAATATAAATTATAATTTGCATTTCAAATAAATCAATTTTGCCATATAGATCATGGTATAAATAAATACCAAAGACGGGTATTTATTTTCAGCTAGTCAATAAGGGTAAACAACCAGAGCACCCTGTGCACATGCAGCAGTAGTGAACTGGCTGGATGGGAAGCAACACTTGCTCTTCCTCTCCTCCATACAGCAGCAAGACAGGCTGAGTCTGACCACGTATATGAGAAGCTGCAGAGACTAGGAACAGCACATGGAAGGAACACACTTGAACTGGGAGAACTCTGGAAAATGGAGTGCTTCTGAAGGCTAATCTGTTTTTCACTGGGTAGAAAAACTTGCTGGACAGTTGAGCCCAAGGAGTGCTGGTGAATGGAGCTGCTCCAGCTGATGCCTGGTCACTAGTGGTGTTCCCCAGGGCTCAGTACTGGGGCCAGCCCGATTTAGTATCTTTACTCAGTCATCTGGACGAGGGGATTGAGTTCACTCTCACTTTTTAGTTTTTAGAGAACACTGAATTGGAGTGTGGGTCTGCTGGAGGGTAGGAAGGCTCTGCAGAGGGATCTGGGCAGCCTGGATTGATGGTCTGAGGCCAATGGTATTAAATTCAATAAGGCAAAGGGCTGAGTCCTCCACTTGGGTCACAGGAACCCCAGGCAGCATTATAGGCTGGGGAAAGACTGGTTGGAAAGCTGTCTCATTGGAGAAAGACCTGGGGGTATGGCTGACAGCAGCTGAACAAGAGCCAGCAGTGTGCCACTGGCAAGAAGGCCACTGGCATCCTGGCCTGTATCAGCAACAGTGTGGCCAGCAGGACCAGGGCACGGATTGTCCTCCTGTGGTCAGAACTGGTGAGGGCCCACCTCAAGTACTGGGCTCAGCTCTGGGCCCCTCACTACAAGCAAGACACTGTGGTGCTGGAGCATGTCCAGAGAAAGGCAATGGAGCTGGTGAAGGGTCTGGAGCACAGATCCAATGAGGAATAGCTGAGGGACCCGGGATTGTTTAGACTGGGGAAAGGCTCAGGGGAGCCTTACTGCTTTCTAGAACTACCTGAAAGGAGGTTGTAATGAGGTGGAGGTCAGTCTCTTCTCCCAGGTAATGAATGGCCAGTCTCTTCGCGAACGAAGAACCGGGGAAGGTCTTTCCACCTTCCAGCCTGCGCATTGGATTTTTTAGGTGAGACACAGTGTGCGCGGAACTGAGACCACCCTTTAATCCTGAGGTTCATCTGCTGGGGCCAAGCACGCTTGGACGGTGGCAGCGAGGTCCTCAGGACGTAGATGGATTGCCTTACAGGGCTAACGAGCTCCATCTGCCCGGGGAGTGGCCCCGACCGGGAATCGAACCCGGGTCTCTGCAGTGACAGTGCAGTGAATTTTCCCCTGGACCACCGGGGGCTCCCTCCCAGGTAATAAGCAATAGGACAAGAGCAAATGGCCTCCAGTTGAGCCAGGAGAAGTTTAGATTGGATATTAGAAAAAATTTCACCCAGCAAGGACTGTCAAGCATTGGAAGAGGCTGCCCAGGGGAGTGCTTGAGTCACCATCCTTGGAGATATTAAAGAGGTGTGTATATACAGCACTTAGGAACATGGTTTAGTGGTAGACTTAGCAGTGTTAGGTTTATGGCTGACTTTGATGAACTTAAAGGTATTTCCCAACTTAAATGATTATATTATTCTATTCTGTGATTCTATATTAAAGCTACCTTGCTTAGCGTTTTCATTCTATGTCACTATATTCAAGTTGTGACCTCCACTTTGCCTTATGCAGTTGCTTTAAAAGGAAATGTGACAGAAATATCTATCATCTATGAATATCAATGATCTAGGGAGTCAAATTAGAGCTTTGAAGAAGTAATTTGATAAAAGTTTTTTTTTAATATTATTTAAAACATGAGTTTAGCGAACTGGAAACATCATCACTTAAACAAGTAGCTGTACACACATCTTTACAGAAGACTGTATTTACACTTTGTTCATTTTTCCATTGACTTTAAATGAGTCAGAAACAAATCATTAACAACAGAGTTATATCTAGATACGAGCACTTGCATTTCTTCACAATAATGTAATGAAGGTTACTGCCTATCTTATAATGCCATAAGCACATTTAAACAACTTGTTCTCTTCAGGCAGTTGTGCACAAGAGACTTCATGCCCAGTTTTTAAAAGGAGAATGGCAAAAGAGAACAGGCAGCCAGCCTTCCAAGGAATAGCTTATTAGTTTTCATTAAACCTTTACATTTCACAGCATTAGCACAATGGTTATTAAAGAGGACTTCTGAAGATAATATATATATCCACAGGCCCCAATATAAGACACTTTTATTTAAAAAAAATAACCTTTCTTTTCAGGAAAGTCAGGTTTGTGTCTGCAATACAGACATACTCAGCTAAAAAATTTGTAAATAGTAACCTTCAGTAAGTTTCTGCTTCTATTTCCTGCACAAAATTGATACAAAGTCTTTACCTCAAAATCTATCCCAACAGGACCCATTAAACTGAAACACGTGGGTGAAATCTGGCTCAGTGCCTTCCTGAATCTGATCTGTCTGCTGGGAGAATGAGCAGTTTTTATGACATGTGTACTCCTTCCCCGTATGCTCCCCTGGCACGTCTGCCATCAGTGTTTCAGTACATGTGGGACAGCAACTGCCCTCGTAGCACAAAGAGCCCAGTCTGACACAGCCCCTCCCAAAGGACACGGCCCCGTCCCGCGGTGCCGCCGCTGGGGCTGCCAGCATCTCCCAGCTCCCATGGGGGAAACAATGGCTGCAACTCAGGTCCCAAGAGAAATGCACTGCTTTAAAGCTTTAAAAACGTTTTAAAATCTTTACGGCTCCAACTGAATCATGTTAATGACTGATGGTGAGAAAAGATGAATTATTCATGAATGTTACCTGAGGACAGTCCCAGTTTTTGACTGAGGTAGGCTTACATGAAGCTATAGTTTTACTTGCCCCTCATACTCCCTTGTTCAAGAGCAGCCCCAGGACATAACAAAAAATAGATCCAGCCTCCCTCAGTTACTTCAGCTAAGGCGATTCTCAGGAAAACAGTCTGAGAAGTTAGGTGGCTACAGGGCAAAGAAGATTATTATTGTGTAATAATCAACGATGATGAATGTTGATCCAAGAGCATAAGAACGGATCTTAACATCCCTCTCCCAAACAAGAGCATACATAGTAATTTTAAAAATATTTAATTACATATCAAGCTTGGAGCAGCAGCTTAGAAGTTGTTATGAGGAGGAAGCAAAACAGGCCATTTTTAAATTAACTTTATTTCTTTTCAAATAGGTCACACTTGGGTATATTTGCACTTGAGAGGTCATCACAGAGATGCAAGTAAGTGAGATTAGACAGTGTGACAAATAAGCCCTAATTTTTCTTTATAAAGACAGCAATCAGGATGAAGACTGTCACTTCCCCACAGACTACAAAAATACCGCTTTGCTATCTGGCACATCTCTTCACAGGTCTGTACTTGTGAGTAGGAAATGCAGATGAACGATATGATGCTAAGCATATGATACAGAGGGATGTGCAGAAAAAGAGCAGCCTAGCAGCCTCGAATGGTTGGTTAACCCAAAGGGAAAAGGGAGAGGAATAAAGAAAAAAAAAAAAAAACTTATTCACATATTTGAAGAAGAATCACTGGAAAAGACAGCTAGTTAAGCACAAATCTAGGATTAGTTTTTGGCTCAATCCAAACAAGGAGTCATCTAAAGTACCTGACTGAAGAAGGCTGAACAGACCTCTGGCTATCAGCAACTACAGCCACCATTCTGCTCTGGCAACCCAAGCTGCAGGTGAGACTGAGGTTACCTCTACCAGTCCTTTTGTCCTTTTTGTTAAAACACAGACTACCAAGATACAACAACAAAAACATCGAAATCTGCACTTAAGAATTCTTGAAGGAAGTCTGCATCCACCTACTGCTACAGATGACCAAAATGCACAGCTATAAGGAAGTTCAGATCCACTTGGAACAGCCACAGAACAAAAACAGCTTTACTCTCAAGAAACCTCAGCAGCATATATAACAGCAACCCAGAGAAACCTCACTGTATTCCTATGTCCCAAATTTATTATGAGATAAAAGTTGATCTGAACAAAGTCAAATTAATATTCTCATCCTAGTCTCAAAAACCACATCATTAAACTTCCCATCTCTGATTTGTAATGACCAATGCTCAATAATGACAGCTGGTAACATCTCAACTTATCTGAGGACTGATCTTATGCACAAGAGGTCTGACAAGTCACACAGTCTACTGAATTTAACAAAACCGTGGAAAACTGGTCTGCTCCTTGGCACAAGCAACACAGTTTGCAGTGAAAAACAGTATTCCCTGACTGCCAACTTTAAGTAATTTGTGCTGTTGTAAAACAACCACAGACACAAAAAAAAGCAAAAGAAGCAGCCCATTGTTTTAAAGAATTTTCTTGAACACAGAATTCCCAGACTCCTTATCCCAAGCCTCAAGCAGACAATTATTTGGTCTTCATCAAAGTCAAGGAGTCAAACAGGCTGGACTAACAGCTTTAAACTCTGCAATATTGATGTGGAGCTTTCATCTAACCACTTAAAGAAAAAAAACCCAGATCACTCAGCAACTGTACCAGCCCACCACTCAGAAATATCAAAAGAAATGGTTCATGGATCTGAAAGAATTTCCTGATTAACATGTGCTACCTTCAGTTTTTGCAAGTTGAATAACCTGACATGTAAATGACTTAGAAAGGAGAATTGTCAAGGAGATCTGCTTCATTTGTTAAGAATTTGCAGAAACTACAGAGGTAACTTGAAAAGAAGTATTTCCTTACAGTGGAAAAAGAAACATGTTTCAGATCAAAACACAAGTGTCTTTTACTTGAAAGCAACGTCATAAAACAGGCTATCTAGAGAATTGCTGATTAAACAAAAAAAATCTCATTATATCATACAAACAGCAATGGATTCAATCCCACAGACAGAAAACACAACATCACATTTTTAGGTCCTGAATGACACAGCAACATTCCAACATGTTCATAACCTAAAATGAGAATCCCCAAATATACAGATTCTAAATATACATTTTCTAAGAGGATTTTTTTACTTTTCAAGTACTTAACTACATTAAATAACAACTGAAAATATTTCTGGAGTATCTGATTCTGAAAAAGGCTACCAGCTCTGAGCAAACTGTGGATCAAGTACAGATCTTTACATCACTTCAACACACCCTAGTGAATATTATATCAGAAATCCTAAAAGCAGCAGAGATAACAGGTCCAGTAGTAACAGGGCTCTTGGTGTATGCCCCAGTAGCATGCAAATGTATTTTAAATTCTGCACATAAAATTTGTGGGATGCCACTATAATAGTTAAACACAAGTAAACATTTCAGATCCAGCAATCAAGTACTGGTAGACAACAGCAGACTAAACTGTAGGACTATTCTTTATGGTCTGTCCTCAGAGACCAACTACTGCCATGGACAATGACTAGAAATGTTAATGACTTCAACAGTCAATAACTGGTATGGCACCAAATGAGACTGCTCACTGGTATCACGAACACGAAACACTGGAGCCATCACAATCTTCCAAGGATTCCAACGGTCAGACTGGAGGTTTATCTCAGTGTTTCAGAATGTCTTATTATAAAATCCAGCTACAGGTAGGCAAAAATTTTTGAAGAATAAGTTTTGAAAACTTCAGATGGACTAACTCAGTGGGCACCAGAGAATCATTACAACTTTGTGCAACTGAAAAAAAAAAAATGGTGCTGGATAAGCAGCCAGTCCAGTTGGTTGTGGATCTGGAAGCTATTATTGTTAAACAGTGTCATCAGATGTGATTCTTCTTGACCTGTATCATCAGAAAAGGCCTAATGCATGCAGCATTATTTCAGAATAAAGATACTGGACATGTGACACAAAAACTCAACTGATATCCACAGTCCAGGTAATAATGTAATGTGGAATAAAACTCACTACAAAATTCTATTTCCGTGACCATCAGCTGTGCTGATACAATTGACCCAGCCGACCCAGGAAACAACTGTTCCTCATGTAGGGCACTGAACCACTTAAGATTTACAAGGTACCAGAATCAACTGTGTTTGATATTAGCTGTTGAGCTTTATTGACTCAATTCAGTTATTTATAAACTTACTTTATAGCTGTTTACACAGTGCATCAGGTACCTTCAAACAAGTGGCTTATGGTAAGTTGGGCTAGAACACATGACATGAGACACAATTTACAAGCCTCAGATAGGTGTACATCCACTTCTGGTACATGATACACCCGCTGAGAGCATCCAACCTTGGCATTAAACAATGACCTTTACAGATTTCAGTTACACTTCCCTTTTAAATAAAAGTTTAAAAGATACATACACTTTTGTTTCATAGTCCTTCCAAGCTTTATCAAAGGGTTTTTTCAGGTCCTGTCAAAAAAGAAAGGAAAAAGAAAAAAATACAGCCAGTTATTTATATGAAAAATACTGTGGCTCTAACAATGAAGACACACCTTGGCCACTTGCAGTGCCTACTAGAATAAGGGACTTCACTCTTTCTTGAATGGCTCACCTAAGGGTTGTGCAAAAGCAATCTTGCACACAGGAAAACAATCTTGTAAAGAGCATTAATGCATTCATAATTTTAAAAGCATCTCCAGGATGTTTTTTGTTATGGTTTTCACAGCTCCATTTTACTCCTTAAAAGGTAAACCATGGTAACCCAAGAGCATACTATGCAATTAATTAAAGCAGCTTTTTTCTCATCAATCTCTGGCTCTGCTGGAAAGAAGCACCTATCCTGAGGCTGCAGCACCGTCTTGGCTAAGGACTTGATTCATCCCACTCAAGTTTAAGAAATCAATTTCCCACTGCCTTAATGGGACCAGAATAGGCCATATGGCTCAATGTAACTAATTCCATGAGAAATTTAAATTACTTATGTTCCAAATTCCTTTATTTTCTTTCCTCTGGAGAAGGTAATTTGGATAAAATGATCTTAACAAGTTGTAAAGTTATTTCACTGATGTCTGAAAATGGAACAGCTGAAATTCTGCTGAAGTTCAAGAGATCAGACAACTACAAAAAAAAAAAATACCATTAACTGTCAGACACTGGAAAAACTTTGCAGCTACAGATTAGGAACTAATTCTTACATGTCAGCTAGTTATTTTGACAATTAATAAATTAACTAAAGCAGCATTTGATTACATTCCCAAGGCAGTGGAGCAACACTGTACTGTAACAGATGCATGTATTCTGACATGGAAAAAGAGAAGAACAAGAGGAGTGAAATGCGGTAAGCAAACAATACAAAGATAACAAGTCTATCTTACTAAATAATCTATTTATCCTCCAGTAATTTACAGAAACATTTTTAATTTATGTACATATTTTTCTCCTTCCTTCAATGTCCTAGAACAATAGCTGCCAGTCGCTTCCTGTTTGCTCACTACTAAACAAAGCATAAGCCAAACAAGTTTGTTCGCTATAGGTTCTGAAATTTATTACAAACATATCATCATTTGAGTCCTAAGTTATTGTTATTTCAAATAGGAAATATCCTTGGGGCACAAATAGATTTCAGCTTCATTAACAAAAATCCTATTCTTAAACAGTCTAATGTGTCTTTCTTAATAATCCATTTAGTTCTAGGTAAGTTTAGAATGCTAAATAAACATATTAATAATAATAATCCTTTTAAATATAGTACTACCCACTCCTCAACTAAGCATCTGAATCTTACACCTCTTTCTCTGTTTATCTTTATCTCAGGTCTGTTTTTAAAGCTTCTCAAATGTTGCTTTGTATGCATAGTCAAGAATACATGGTAGGCAAAACCACAAACTGAAAGGATGACTCAATTCACACACACACACAGAAAATCCAAACAAAACCCCCAAAGTCTTGTTTATTAAGCTAGTAGGTTACTTTAATATCCCATGCCTTCCCTCACATAAGATTAATATCCTAGCTAAATGTATCCATTGCACCAACAATCACCTTACATATAAACAGGAAGGTCAACATACCCCTTTTACTCCTTTCAGATCTCCCTTCAGCAAACTGTCCAATGGAAAAGTGATTATGTTGTTCATATTCTGAATCTGTAACAAGAAAATTGCACCAAATCATTTAATACATTCAGATATAGAACATAAACTGTCTTAATACCCCTATTTCAGAAAGTTTCACAAGGAAATCTTTCGTATTATTTTCCTATCCCTGCCTTATGAAGATGTTTATCAGCACAGCCAGTAATCAAAGATAGAAGCAACATGAGTTAATTAAACTTACTCTGGAAACACTATAACCCAAGCCAGCAGGAAACTTCCAGAATTACTGCTGATTATAAATACCTCATCCAACAGACTGCAAAATAAGACCACTAATTTTTACATTGCCTGATTTCACTGTTTAAATTATGTGAAAACAATCATAGCATTTTTCAGCACTAATAATTTTAAGTTCATGAATGTATTTTAAATTAACCTTGTTTATTTTCCAGTCTCTTCAGACTTATTCCATAAAATGTATCTGCTACTCTTCCAATAAATGGCATTTTGTTCTGACAGAAGTTATAAAGAATGTTGGCCTGTAAAAAAGCCACTATTCCAATATTTCCCATGTGTTTTTAAAAAGTAATACATCTGCCGTATTTATCTCATGTGAACTTTGAAATAAGGATTTTATGAGGTCTTCAGTATGTAAGTTTACTATAATTCAACAGAAAACAAGTACTTCAAGAAGATAAAAATAATTTCAAATGAAGACAGTAAAATAATCATGGTTTTAAGTAAGTATCTGTATGATAATATTTTGATAAGGGAAAAGAATGAGGAAAGATTGCAGGAATAAGACAGCCAGAAAAATAATCTTCTTTATGATTCAGAGAAAACATTCAAGGTATGGACCATAATGTCTAAGCAGAGAGCTTAAACTGTAACAATTCAAATGGATTGCTCTGAAAAGCAAAGCCCAGACTACTTTAGAACAACATGACGGGGAAAAAATTCAGAATAACTTTTGCAGCAGAAGGTTGCCCTTGGATGAGTTTCTTTTTTTGGTATTGTAAGCTGTTCTCTTAAAATGCAATTTTTTTCAAGAAGCACTGAAATCCAAATATGAAGATGCATTTCAAATGTTCAAATTACAGCAAGAACTTTTCATCATGTAGCCACAAATGCTTGTATTTCTTCAGGAATAATGTCAGGGACACCAAAGTCCCTTTTAGCGCAACCCATCCAAAAAAGAAAGGATACTAACACAAATGTCAAGCAAAAAATATTTGCAATTATTAGTCTCCCCAGAAATGAGAAATACAAAATATTATCACCCTGTAGTTACTTGGTGGCCTCACCAGAACAGACTCAGGGGTCCCATCCCCAGTGGTACTCAACAGCTGCTATTAAAACAAACAAGCAAAGGTCCCAAGGCCCCCACCCTTCCTCCTCAAAGAAACCACCTTACTGCATTTGCTTGAAATTTCAGTCACCAAAGGAAGAGAAAGCAAACCTTCATCAACTGTAAAGGTTACACAGATTGGCTCTGCATGGGAATGCTAAAGAAACATAGAATATCTGGTCTTTTGAACTCTTAACACAAATCACATTTCCACTCCTCCACCCTACATTTTCTCCTCCCCAACAAGCTGCAGGACTCAGCCAAAGGCCGTTAGAATCAACAAGTTAAATTTCAACTCCTTGTTGTTTGTTTTTTTTAAATACTTCCTACAAAAACTGAATGAGCAACATCTACACATGCTTAGTTGGCAGTCCTGGAAACCATCCACCTCAGCAGTACTACAACATGCTTATATCAACATAACCATTCTCAAAGATAATAAAATTATATGTTGTAGAGACAGGAGATAAGTGAAAAGGTTGAAACTACACAAAACCTAGGTAAAAAAAAAAACCAACAAACATCTAGAAGAAGTTGCACATCCAGAACGGATATCCAGGTGGAGAAGCAGAAGAAGTCCTTTTAAGATATCATCCCATGCAGTTTCCCACTTTGTTACTCTATTTAATGAGTATGACACACTCAAATGTCTAACCTAAGGATCAATACTTTCACAGCCTCCATTTAATTATTTTTCAAATCCAGTAAACAGACAAAAAGGAAGAACAAAGTATTTTATTTCAGAACTCAAGACACAGCAGAACTCAAGACAACCATTTTTTCCTTCAGTAAGAAAAGAAAAAACATCAGACCCAGAAGTATTATCCCAGACACAGTCATGTAAACATCAATCAGCCTCCAAAACAGTTATGCATGTTTCCTAGGATTTCAAGACATAAGGCCTGGAGCCCAAAGCAATTTTAAGAAAAAAGGAGAAAAAACTCTGAATTCTTTTTAAAACTTTGGAGAATGTTTGCCGATTCAAATTAATTCCTTCTCTGTGCTATCACCTGTACATTACTATCAGTCTATTGTATTCCCTATGCTCCTATTTTATTTGCAACAAAAGTAAACATACATAATGCATGAACTTGTTGTTATTAACCTAGTTAGATGAATCATACTCACTCATATTTATAAACCAGCAAGCAATACAGAGATAAAAGATCTTACATGTTTTTCTCCTCTTTCTTGAGAAGCTTAAGCTGAACTATCTAAAAATATAGACCCATTTTTGGTATGCAGAGAAGCATTAATATGCTGCAGCTCCTACTCTGCGTACAGGGAGCTAGAATGTATACAACAGCCTCTACATTTTGACTATTTTATGTTTTAAAATATTCTTTTAGAAAAAATACACGAAGGTGTAGGAAAGCTTCACAGAAATTAAAGCCATCCTGTCTCAGAGGAACACTAGCAAGTTCCATGTGTTTAAAAAAACCAAAAAAACCCGAGCAGTTGACCTCGTTTCCACTTCCAATACTGCTGCTTTGGCACTTGCAGTTTTCCTCTGACAGTTTCCAAGAAGATTACAGGGTAAAAAATCAAAACTTCCTAAGTTGGAGAAGGCTCAGAGAAGAAGAAAAAATGGCAGGAGGGAGAACATATAAACAAAACATGTAGCTGCCAGAAGTGCCGGTAGAGGCAACAAGCAAGCCAACATTCGCAAAGGGGAAAGATGTTCAAGTGTTTCAAGAGCCTACAGCTAAACAGTTGAGTTTGTTGTTTGTTGTTTGCCAGCTCTCCTGATTACTTTAAAGGACTCTTTTCCATAGGAGCTTTGGCTACTGGTGCCTGTAGTACTTCTAAAGATTTTGTTTTCTAAATCCAAGCAAAAGAAAAAAAAAAAAAAAGCCCTGTCAGTACTTCAGAAGTTAAATGTTTTAAACATGCAGACCTTAAAACTTTTTCAACTTAAACTAATCCTCAGGCAGTCACAGCACAACTCCTATTGCCATAACTAAACCTCAGATGCACCCCATACACTTGGCTGTGGCTTCTCAATCACCAGTGAACTTGCAGGTGATGGTAGTACTCCTGCTGACAAATCACTGTTTCAGTAATTTTGGTTTTTCATGGCAAGTGCTATTGGATTTAATAGTTTTCAATAATTTTCCCAGTGATGTGACCTTTAGTAGGACATGGCAAATCAACACAGTGGGGAGCAAGGGGGAACCAGAACAGCCGCTACAGATGGGATGCTTTTTGTTTTCTGAATGTTCAGCTTTAGCACACAAGCCCAAGACTTCTTTCACTGTGCCTTTCCCTTGGACACAAGGACACAACGCTGCCTTTCCCAGTGCTCAGGCCCTGCCCCACAGCAGCACAGGTGTGTGGCCGAGCTGGGACATCACCCACCATCCATCATGCCACAGGAAAAGTCACTCCATTGAAACAGGAGCCGAACACCGCTAAGTGCCCACATGGAGCTGCTGGCTCAGCTGCCCAGAAAAATGCCTTCCCACAGGATACTGAGTGTTGCCATCAGGTACTTCTTAGAAACAGCCCCGTGACCACCACCAATACACAAACTACAGGTTGGCAACTTCTCTGTTAGGAAGTATTTTATGGGAAATCTTAAAACCATAAAGTGAAGAGTGGTAAAAGCAAAGGAAGGAAGAGACTTGCAGTTATTCCAGCCCTTCTTCCCTACCAGTGGAGGAGAATTCCAGGTTGCACATCTTTTAACCTATGTGAAAAGAACTAAGTGAGAAGCATCTATCGCTCTCTCTGGGATACTTCACCCCGTACTTTCAGAGTGAGAACCCATTTATAAGCAATTTAGTATTTTCCTCTTCCACAATCACAGTTATCTGTGAGGCAAACCATATATTGAAAATTCTTTTAAGCTTTATTCATAAATCAACCTATTCAAGCCCTGATCATTTTTTGTTACTGTCCTCTGAATTTCTTCCAGTTGGATCAATATCTTGTTGGCAAACAAAGAAAGATGTGATTCCAGGTGGAGCTGAACCCATGCCACTAAGGAGGAATAATTACATGTTGGTTTATATCTCTACAAGCATAAATCAAACACTTTTCCTCTCACCATTAGCCAAGTTTTCCTCCAGTGTACCAGTGAAAAACAGAAACAACACAACTTAAATCTTTAACCTTCACATATAATACTTCAGTCTCAAATATGTATATCTGTAGGGTTTTGCATGGACGTAACTAAGAGCAGTGAAAGTTCAGGCACTAAACATTTTTTAAAAGCCTCAGTCTGAACTATTAGCCTTGAAAGAAAATTCTGGACATAAGTTTCTTAAGTTCATTATATAAAATAGAAAAGATATTTCCTTCAATTTTGATGTTACCTTTTGCATTTAAGCAAATCTCCTTTCTTCTTACATTTTAAAAAGTAAGTAAAATAGGAGCATATGGTCAGAAAAATATTATTAGTATTCTTGTATTTTTTTATGGCTAAAGTCCAAAAGTACAATACAACTCCCAGCAAATAAAATCTCTTTTTTCCAGCTACCTTCCACAAAGTGAAAATATCAGATGCAGTCCTCTCAATCCAGCCTGTTTCATTAGCTTTAAACTTAAATAAATGAAAAAGAAAGGACAAGAGTTTGTAGAACAACAACAAATACAGAAAATGGAATTTGTTAAATAGCTACTTCATTTTGACAGATCAAATCCCTTTTCAAGGAGTGCTGACAAAGATGATGAGCAACTACAGATTTTTCTTCTCAGTGTA